TCTGAAACTCATCTGTGATAAGGCCCCACTGATCAGTACTTTATTTCACAAGAGAAATAGCAGAATAAAATGGATATGTATTATTGATAGAACCAGGTTATTAAAAAAAATATTGTTTCAGCAATTCAAATATAAAACTATACTTAATGCTATGAAAATATGAATGCTCATAAAGATTTGTTTAGCATTGAATGATTATTTATTTTAAACAGTTACAAACGCTTTATTATAAACAAGTAGCTACACAACGGTATGCTATATTGCAGCAAAGGCATTTCCTCGCTTTTACCAGACAAGTAAAGCTGTACAAAGAGACCCCTTAACTGTTTTCCAGGACAGTGTAAACAGTGGTATAAATATTTGCACTGACCATTTTACATATTTAATCAAAATATGCTGTGGCTTTGTGAGAATTATTGGAATTATTCGAGTCTGTCGAAAAGCACTTTGTGTAATACAGTCTGGTGGCAGTGTCCCGTTACTGCAGCATATGGCGTAACAACATAAACAAAACCCGCCGACAGAAATGGGACAGCACAGTGAATTGAACAAATGCGATTCATTTGCCTTTGAATATGTTTAAGTAATAGTCCGTATTTACACTTTATGGTTTCAATGAGGAGCTCTGTTTTACACATTAGTTCAATTCAAATGCGCATTAAAGCTGCCGATCTTACCGTATGAGAGACGAGGATCGATCAATCCAAGGCGATCGATGTTGGAAAAATGAATTATCCACAATTCGATCTCATGGTCGGTTGTATTGTGTGAGGCTCTGCGATGTAAACAGCGGATCTTCGAGCTCGTGGTCGCTAATTACTCTAGCTCTAGTCATTGCCATGTGATTCAGCCAATGAATTAGAACTGCTACAGTATCAGCACACAAGCCAAGAGCACAAGCACGCAACATTTTACCTCTGAAACCCAATGATGAGAAGATAAATAATGATGGAAATAAGGATGTTTAGATGATGATTAGATAGTGAAAGTAACAATAAATAATCTCTTAATGTCTATTTATGTTTCTGCATAAGAGATATAGCCTACTGGGATGCAGAACGGTAATGTTTGAAATTAATAGATTTGGAAAACAATTATAATAATGCAATAATGTGAAAAGCAAATCTCATATTTTACAAGTTAAAAAAAAAATTAAGTAAAGATCATAAAAATAATATTTGAATTAGCAAATGTAAGATTACCAGCCTGGAAAAAATCAAAATAATCCATGATACAATTTCAATTTACATTATTGCATTTCTATCATTATTCATCAAGGTAGGCTAGCCTACTCATTAACATAACATAAAGTCAAAAACCAAAATTATTGAGAGTAGTTTTAGGATATCATTCTTTTACTCGTGTGAATAATGGAAACTTTCAGCAGCTTGGATGGTTACCTTGAAAGACTGTTAGCATTCCTGAAACTAAAAATGGTTCATAAAATAATTAATATAGGGCCCCGTTCTATTTTAACTCATATTTCTTTTTCATATTTCATATTTCTACAGGTGCGCAGGAGTGGAATAAGTTGCCATTGGACATTAAGATTTTAATGGATAATGTTGGTTTTAGAATAAGAGTGAAGAGATTGTTTTTAGATGGGATTGCTTAATAGATATGGATATATGTGTATTTGTTGTGATAGTATGGTTTGTCATGAAAATGTATCGTTAAAAGAAAATCAAGGACCACAATGGAAATAAGTTGATGCAACTTTATCATGTTATCCTTGAAAAATAAGTTGTTACAATTTTGTATTGCTACTTTTTATGTCAAATAAACTCACACCTTTTATTTTCATTTACATAAAATAAATCATCAACCTTGACGAAGGTCTGTAAATGAAAGTGTTTCTTGAAACATCAACTGGTGCTTTTTGGACGTCATCAGGTCTCTGTTTGAGTTTATGTCCTTTTTTTTGTAACATTGCAATCAAAATGACCAGTTGATTTTATTTTATTTTTTGCCTGATAAATGAAATGAGAAGAACTAATGCTTCTTGCAGAATAATGCATTTACGTTCTAATACAAGCAGCACTTTATCATGAGGCCACATTTGTTTCAAGTGGTTTTAATGTGTGATGAAGAGTGATGAATAAATGAGAACGAGTGAAAAATGGAGGGGTAGTGAAAATAAAAGCGACACAAAGTGACAAATGTAAATGCATCATGTTAAAGGTGAAGTTGCAAAAAAAAAATTTGACTGTTTTTAGTGTTTTTACCTGTGCACCTGTAGCACTTTGAGATGTGTCCTTCACTTGTAAAATGCAATACAAATTAAACTTATTATTATTATTATTATTGAATAAGAGCAGATTTTTGAGTGCACTGTCATCACAGGATGACACACCCGTAATACCCACAGGCCAAACTCTTACTTTAGCAGGCTTTTCAAGAGCCAACTAAGATATTTCTGAATGTTTTTTTACCATCATTTAGAGTATCCAAGTATACAATATGATCCAAGAATTTTACTTTCTGTTTTAACTTTAGCTTTGCTTTTCATGAATACATTTCCATACATTTCGGCATCTAAAAATGGGCATAAACAAGGATTAAGAGTTGATAGTGAACTATTTCAGGTAATAGTGAATAAGAAATTAGATGCGCTAAATCATCTTGCAGCATAATGAGTCCCCAACAAGGAACCCAATATATCCCAATGTAATATATATTATTTATAGGTAAGGCAAAGGGGATGTGCCAGATCCAGCCTTGACAACACTCTCCACACATTGCACTTTCTCATCCCAATCCTCTTCCTCGTTGTTCACCACCTCTTACACATACTCTTCCTCCTCTCCCTCTTGTTTCCATTGTTGGTATCAACATCCAGTGCAACATTTTGGGACTCTGAACTGACTTGGATTATGTACAGTTGGTTTGGTCACATCATTAGAAATAAGTGTGAACAATTTTGAGTCGTTGTGTGTAAACCATGGCAATTGTGTTTAACTTTTGGCACTTGTGTTTAGCATTTTGAAACATAAGTCACAGTGCAAAATGTGTTTTAGTGAGTGAGAATGCATTAAGAGTTTTGCAAAAAGAGTCCATGAGATTTGCAAATTGCGTCTTGAACTTATTTAATGTTTTACATAAAGAGTGATTTATTCGACAAATTGGTTTAGGCTATTAAGAATTCGGTTCAGAGAATGGGCATTAGTGTTTTAGCAATTCAGAAAAACTGTATGAATTGTGAACATTTTTAGCCCAAACAATGCGCTTCTGACTCTGAGGCTTTCAACTTAAGGTAAAACCGAAGTGTGAAGAGGTTCCTTCTTATTATCAAATTTGGGCAACTGGTGAACCCAACTACATCTTCAATAAGGAGGAATGTGTGGAGATGAACTGGAAATGTAGAGGGAACTTGTGAAAAAATCGAATGGTTTAGGATTATTACACTGAGTTTTAACTAAATGTTTAGCTAAAGCTGTGAGTTAAACAAGCTCCCGGCTCTTCCTGGAAGTCAAGGGAGTATCTCAATACTTTCAAGTATGAGGATATGAGATGGTTAATTCAGCCAGAATCTCTTCAGAAAAAAAGGACAAATTTAAGTGTTAACAATCAGCTAAGATGTATTTCATTTTATTTTATTTATCTTTATAACATGCAGAAGTTACACAAATCCCTTAATTTCACTGTCCCTCAAATTTTCAAAAATAGAAACAATTCTTCAAATTCAAACTTTAAATGACAATAATTTTTGCAATCAAAATGACCAGTTGATTTTTTTTTTTTTTTTGCCTGATAAATGAAATGAGAAGAACTAATGCTTCTTGCAGAATAATGCATTTACGTTCTAATACAAGCAGAACTTTATCATGAGGCCACATTTGTTTCAAGTGGTTTTAATGTGTGATGAAGAGTGAGGAATAAATGAGAACGAGATGTGAAAAAAGGAGGGGTAGTGAAAATAAAAGCGACACAAAGTGACAAATGTAAATGCATCATGTTAAAGGTGAAGTTGAAAAAAAAGAGTCTTGAGTCAGAGTATGTCTAATGCAGTGAATTTAATGGCAACACCCAAATGTTTACATTAAAGTTTAAAGTAATTACAAATAATGAATGTCTCTATACAGGAGATCTTGCAAGTTTATCATGCAACTTGATGAATTAAATCTTTATGATCAGATTAAGTGACAAAGCCATTCTGACTGTGAGTTGCAGCAACTTTGGCTGGCAGTGTCAAGTGGAGACACTGAGATATCACAACTTTGTCAGTAATCACAAGATCTCCTGTTTTTAGTGTGGTAGTAAACTAGTAAAACTAGTAGCCTTTCAGATGCTTGTCGTTTACCAGACACCTCTCTCCAACAAATGTACTGTCTACAAAAATAGTTTTCACTTGGCGAGCAAGCACAATGCTGACAGAAATGATATAGGAGAAGGGTCATGGAAATTAACAGAATAGCAGGGTTTTTTTTTTTTTGTTTTTTTTTTTTTTTTTTTACCATTAGTGCAAAAACCAATAGCCAAAGTGCATTACAACCAGATTGCAATGAAACGAGTGCAGAGCCTTAGCAAGACTTTAATAAGTAATAATAATAATACAAGTCGTGTTTAGTAAATTGGGTCAATCCTCCAGCTATCTTCTCATTCATTGGATTATGGTTATCCACTGAAATTTGAATTTATATGTTGATGCACACTGTAAGAAAAATGTCAGTAAAAAAAGTAAAAGGTACTGGTAATTATCAGTTTACGGACTTTTCATTTATTCCTTGAACACAACACAATGCGTAATTCAAAATACAGGTACAAAAAAAACTGTAAAAATTATTATGGGAAATTCCTTCATTAATACAGTATTGTGCCCTATTTTACAGACTTCTGCATCTCTTGACTTGCTATAGTTTTAAATTAATGAGTATATTTCAGCCTACATACTATTATTGTTCAAGATTAACATTAAGATAGTACTAATGTTACTTTAGTAGCAATGGACCTGTAAAAATTGATTAGTAGCAGGCACTATTAGAGGTGTCAAACGCTTTCCTGTGTGATGAAGAATAAAAAAACTGAAGATGTTAAGATTGAGAGAAGGGGAGGAGTTGTGAAAATGAATGGAATGAAATAAAATAAGGTGAAACGGTTACTGTGAGGACAGATAGAAGACAAAAGTGCAAGAACTGCAATGGTAAGTAATTTTCTTGAATGGACAATCTGTGTATCAATTTTTATATATTATTTATTTGGGCCTTTTTTTCGCAGTGGAAATCAGGATCTATAAGATTTGTTCTGTTGATGACTCTTCTCTTTGAGAGTGGCAGCTTCTTAACAATGGAGAGAGGTGATGTTTAATTCAACAATATTTTGAAATTTCCACACTTTAAGGTTCTATATAGAAATCAACCCCATTGAATCTTTTTTTTCTAATGTAAGCCCCATTCCTTAATGTACCCCAATAACAATAAACTGTAAGGCAGATATTGTATATTAACAGATGTATTAACAGACTTATATATTACAAGTTACACTTCAAACAGACAAGGCAAACTATCCACCTATACTTTTAAAGTGCCATAGAGCTTAAAATAGTCATGTGTGTGACTCTGTCATTTAGGTTTTGATGTTGACCATACTAATGTCACTTCGTGGTGCAGTATGCCTAAAGCCTGTGATGAGCATGGCTTCACCGATTGGTTCAAAGTGGGCAAATACTGTGTCAAATACTTCAACCAACGTGCTAACTTCACTGAAGCCGAGGTGGGTTGTAGCAAAATATTTTTTAAATAGATTGCTGCATTGTTACACTGAAGATATTTAGTTTCTATTACCCTACACATTATTACCTCCACCATTTAAAAAAAAAAAACCCCAATGTATATAGTCGTTAAATGTTCTTGTTTCATACTCAGTTCAAGTGTAGGTCCAAAGCCCCTGGTGCACATCTGGTGTCAGTGCATAGAAAAAGGGATAATAATGACTTGCTCTGCCTTGTGAAAAAATTCAACCCAAGAAACCTGCGCTTCTGGCTCGGAGGCTTTGAATTCTTCAAGGTAAACAGACAGAAGTGCATCCACTAGTTTCTCACTACACAAACAAACACCCTCTGACTTTCTATCTTTAGTTTTTTTAGGTTTTTTTTTAAACCTCTTTCTCATTTTCTCAGTCTGGTAAATTTTTTTGGCTTGATGGTTCCTACTGGAATTATCAAATTTGGACACGTGGTGAACCCAACCACATGTACACCAGTACGGAGGAATGCGTGGAGATGAACTGGAAAGGTAAGGATGGAGAGAAACTAGTTCAAACAACTAATGAGTTATAGGATAATCACATTAAATTTTAACTTGATGTTTGTCTAAATTATTTATAGTGATATTGATGCTGTGAGGACAATAGGATGTTTGGTAAAACACAATGATAGATGAAGTGTTTCACTTTCCCTCACATTTTCAGAGGTTGGCAGATGGAACGACGACTCTTGTAGTGTCAAGAAAAACTACATCTGCGCCTTCAAACGACAAGACATGCTGAAAGTAGACCAGGAGTAGATGGAGCAGTTTTATCTGAGTATCATCCCATAAAACGTTCTGAATAAAATGATTTTCTCTGCATCAACAAAAAAACTTAAAATAAAAATAAAAACAATTCTTCCTTAAAATGATAATAAAGAACTTTTGCATTCAAAATGATCAGTTGATTTTTATTTATTTATTGTTTGCCTGATATGTAATTTTGTAATAAATGTTTTCTTTAAATTCATACCTTAATCAAACTATAGTATTTGTGGTGGGAAATAAAATTGGTTTATATCAAATTTATTATACTCATCAAGGAAAACTTGAATACTTCAAAGTCATCACCTTTAGTCAAGTTTTAAATAAGTTGGGGTTTCATTAGATAGAATTCTAATGAATTCCCAGACCCCCTGTGGTGAAAATCAAGTTTTTAATGTTGTTTATACGTCTATGTGGTGTTTTTAATATGCTTTAAGATAAACCATGTAGGCTACAAATGCATAAGTCAACACCATCGCTGAGTATTTTCTCCTAAAAACTGCAGTGAACCAAAGACAGTCTCAAAAACGCGGTTTGAAATCACAAACTGCTTTGTAACCAATCATGTCAACTTGTGATCGTCAACGAGTGGGTGTGAACTGGTGTGAGTATATATATATATAAAACGGTCAGATAGGCTACAGTTTAGTTTTCATTCACTCAAAATGGAGTTCATTCTGGAAGACTGCCTGTGTTTTGTTAAAACAATGAGAGAAACATACTGTAAATCAAATTTTACAAACTTGATTTACAAACATAATAGTATACTATATATATGTATAAAGATGGACAATATCTGTCCTTTCAATCAGTCTTTCAATATAGTGCTGCAGGGATGGCAAAACCTGGAAACGATGGCACAAAATACATCTGTAATACTCACTTTAGATTTTTTTAAAGCTTTAAATTGTCTTAAAAATGGCAGTTGCTAAAAAGTGGCTAAATAGGTCAGGATTACAGCCATCAGGGACATTAAACTTGATGGCGGACAGGTTCATGCAAGTCCGCTTTTGCAGGCTTCTGTGTTTATAATTATGCACTTACAAAGTATCCTAACTCAAACTTTAAGGGAAAAATATTTTTTTAACCCTCTGGTGCTGTTCACGTGTTTTTTTCCCCTCTCTCTCAATGAAATGATTGTAGCCTACTATATTTTGGTTTGATCTTTTTATTTATTTAATATTTTGTTTATGGTACTAACTTACATTTATGCAGTTATAATATATTTATTCACTTTTTGAGCATATAAATTAAATTTCCAATTATATATTGGAAATAAATCTTGAATGCTTTGGGCCACAGACTTAAAGGGTTAGTTCACCCAAAAATGAAAATTATGCCATTAATGACTCACCCCCATGTCGTTCCAAGCCCGTAAGACCTCCGTTCATCTTCGGAACACAGTTTAAGATATTTTAGATTTAGTCCGAGAGTTTTCTGTCCCTCCATTGAAAATGTATGTACGGTATACTGTCCTTGTCCAGAAAGGAAATAAAAACATCATCAAAGTAGTCCATGTGACATCAGTGGGTTAGTTAGAATGTTCTGATGCATCGAAAATACATTTTGGTCCAAAAATAACAAAAACTACCACTTTATTCAGCATTGTATTCTCTTCCGGTTCTGTTGTCAAGCCACAAAAAAAAGTCTGTTAAGTTTTGAGATACAACAAATTTATGTGAAATCACTTCTGTTTTTCTGAGTTATTGTCTTACTTTTATAAGTTATGCAAAATAAAAAGGGTTGTTGAGAAATCCACATAGACCAGACTAGTAGCCTATATAATTCGGCAGTGATTTATATTATAATAATATAATAATAATTTTCTTCAACAGAGCCCAAAATTCAAAGTTTCAATATTCAGTAAAATCACAGAAGCAGTTTACATTTTTAAATGAAAACTGCTTTCTTGACTATCAAAATATAAAATATAATTTGTATTCCAACAAGGCCAGTGTGTGGGCTATCCCTTCCACAAAGCATTCATGAGCATAGACATAATAAATACATTGAAATAGTATTATGTCTATGTTCATGAGCACTGAGCTAAGACTGATGCATGCTGGGATGAGAGGGGTCCTCTAGCCACGCCTCTGATGTGTGTCCTGTTGCGTTTGTTTATGCAGGCTTGCCAGCCTGAATTGAGCTCGTCGTCTGTTATAGCTTGAGGGAAATATAGAAGGAACAGCTGAAGGCTGGAGCACTAATATAGATGGTCCGCATTTCCTCTCCATATTTAGGAGCCTATATTTAGTTTGAAGAATAAAATTAATAAATTGGTACGTGTCCTTGCATTTCTTTAAAAATGACTAATCAAAATTGTTGTGTTAAATGTATTAGTGTAGGCTATATAGGCATATGTGATAAAGTAAAAAAAAAATAAAAAAAAATCAAAAGCTCAGTCAGTTTCGATAAGAAAACGAATAGTTGAACCATCTAAACACATAAGAAAGGAAAGGGAGAAGGTCATATCACATTCCACACATTTAGGGAACGAAAAGGTTCGGCAGTATCGGCACTCCTACGTTAAAGCCAGGGTATTTCTCAAAGGCAGGCATGAGCATGCTACACTTGCCATAATATACATTTCCTTCTTTCAGATAGGCTACTCATTCAAAACTTACACACACACATCAATCCTCACAAAAGCATCAATAATCCACATCTTGAGTCTTGACAAAAGAACAGGAATGTGCCCGGAGCGGTTTGTATGCACGAGCACAGAGGGGCTGAGTTCAACTCCAGCCTACTACCACAGGACACACCTACCGACCACACAATTTACCGCCCTGGCACAGTGTTAAATCCTACATTTACAACGGGAACGTCCATATTGATGAAATTGTAAGTAGCCTACACTTTGATCTTTCTCTGTGTCGCCTATCATCGTTGTTTGTGTGTGTGTGTGTGTGTGTGTGTGTGTGTGTGTGTGTGTGTGTGTGTGTGTGTGTGTGTTTTTGTTTGTTTTTGTTTTAAACCAGGCGCCTAAAATGACGATAGTTTGTCAAACATTGTCTTGTAGACAGCAGTTATTCCCCGCTGCTTGTGGTTGATGTTTGATTCGAAGCATAGTTTCCGATTCAACCAAAATCGGCGTCTCTTACTTTAATATGAAGTGACATTAAGACGTCACCTTAATGTTCAATTCATTGGATTACTCGACATAAATAAATCTAATTAGTCCGTGCATTCGCTAGTATCGTAATGATACAATTTAGGATCTGGTCCAATTAATCTAACGCGCTTCAGAGATGCACATTAGCTGCCATTCTTATTGGATGCCATTCTGCCATTCTTGCCATTCATGGGCGTGTCCCAATCGATGAACAGTGCACTAGAATAGGAAAATGTTTCTGATCCAAGCTATCTGATGATAGCAGTAATGCACTGTTTGTTTAGTGTGGTTACAATACAGAATAAGAAGAAGAACAGTGCACTGAAAGTGCACAATATTTGAAGCAGAAATATGTTTCTGGTCACATAATTCTTGCTGCTGCGACTTGCAAGCGACCCCATTAAAGGGTTAGTTCACCCAAAAATGAAAACTCTGTCAGTAATTACTCACCCTCATGTTGTTCCAACCCCGTAAGACTTTCGTTCATCTTCGAAACACAAATTAAGATATTTTATTAAACCTGAGAGCTGGATCACTTCTCCATAGGCTTTTTAAGGGATCGGAACTGGCCAGCCCAGAAAAGTTAAAGACATCGTTAAAATAGTCCGAGTGACTACAGTGGCTCAATCTTAAATTTATCAAGCGACGAGAATACTTTTTGTGTGCAAAAAAACAAACAAAAATAACGACTTTATTCAACTATTCATTTCCTTCCCTGTGGGCCTCGAGATTTCATGTAGTGGAACTGCGCAACGGTTCTGTGTGGTACGTCACATGCAGGCTCACTATTGGCCGACGCTGGTCATGTGTGTGATGCGTGTGACCTACAACCTAGAAGCTTTGCGCAGTTTCACTACGTGAAATCTCGAGGCCCACAGGGAAGTAAATATTCCATATTGAATAACTGTTATTCCAGACGCCTTGCGGTGCTATTCGTATTGGAATTGTGTAATCACATATTATGAACAGATGCTTTACACAACAAGGATTTATTCTCATTAGGTTGTTGGGTTTTCATGTTTTATGGGAACTTTAGACATAATGATTTTTATACTGTATACAAACTGTGTTATCCCTAACTCTAATGTAGCTAACAAGGTCATCTACGGACATCAAATGTTACGGACATTATCATGGTACAATTCAGCCTATTATTGATTTTTATTTCCACTTCCCTTTTATCCAAAGAGACAGAACTAGTTGCACTGTATTTATCAATGGGAAAAACATCATGCTAAAATAATCTGTCATATACAGTGTCTCACATTAATGGGGTCGCTTCGCAAGTCGCAGCAGCACGAATTACGTGACCAGCAACAGGGCTCGACATTAAGGCTTGTCTGCTTGTCCGGGACAAGTGGATTTTTTGTAGGACAAGTAGAAGAGAAAATTAGTTGTCCGACCGGACAAGTTAAATTTCAAACAAAATAAAATAACATGTTACTTCACGTTATGTGCCACTCGTTACGTCTATTTTACAGATTTAATTTTACCGATTTGAAACGAACAAATTTTTTCGCGCTGCCTGTGAATGTCCTGAATGTGACTCACAGAAAGACGCGCGCCAGTATAATGCGCATACACAGACCGCGCGCCAGAAGTTCTCTTTCGCGCTTGAACGAACATCAACAACACACACAATTAAGCCAAAATGTCATTTGTCGAGTATCTTCATAACATAAGAACAGTCTTATGATGGACATAAAGAGTTGTGACACGTGAGAGAATGAGGCGCGTGTGATATCCGCGTCTCTGTCCACAGCGGCTGCTCTTAAAGGGCCAGCTACCAATAAAGCATTCTGTCAGTAAAGTTACTGAAAGAACAAAGGGAACAGAGAAAATTACTCACTGCTCTTGACTAAAGAACTTGTGTATCTTCAATAAGTAGTTGTCTATATAATTTATGCAGCCCAGACTGTTTGATAATTTTATTCAATTTCTGTATATGTCCTACCTGTTAGACAGTTAATTTTTATCCAGACATCAATGGCTTATTGATCATTATAGGTGTTATCAATCATTTAGTTGTTATTGCTAATTTCAGAATTATCACTAATCTGTGTGTGCATTTGGTTTAGAACCAAACAAGTTGACTCATGAAACCATTTGTTTATTATATCGCAATCGCATATCACAACCGCAATATTGAACTCAATAATCACAATATGACATTTTCCCCAAATCGTGCAGCCCTAGATAAAATTATAAATCTTTACCCGGACAAGTGACTTTTGTGCATGGACAAGAGAAACATAAATTTACTTGTCCGAAGGACAAGTGCCTCAAAAAGTTAATGTCAAGCCCTGAGCAACATATTTCTGTTTAAATATTGTGCGTAGTTAACACTGAGTGGTGGTTTCAGTCAGACATTATTTTATTAAAGTGCATTTGTCAGTGCCGCACTTGTGACTCTTATTCTGCCTGACAGAAAGAAAAGCTCTTACTGAAGGCAGAGCGGTTTGACCAATCAGATGAAAGGGGCGTTTCAGCACCGCCCACTTGTGCAAATGAAATATCAAACCCATAAACCGATTTGTAACCACAAACGAAAAATGAAAAATCGAGCCAAAATCTAATTTTTCGTTTTTAAACTAAACAAAAAAACGAATAAACGAGCCAGTTTTCATTTCTCGTTATTCCATTCCAAACAGGAAATTAAATGATCAAAAAGTACACGGACCCTTTTGTACTCTGTCCAGGCTATTTAATTAATATATACACCATATTGTGCCATACTTAAAGGGATAGTTCACCCAAAAATGAGAATTATGCGAATTATGAGAATACTACAAATCTTTTTACTTCCTAAAAATTATGAACCATCAATCAGAGGGCAGAAGATTGTGTACAACAGGTTTTTCAGCAAAGTTTTGATCATGTTGATAATTTAGAGGCCTGCATCAAATATGATACCGCAGGCCCAAAATTCTGGTTAATGGTCATATGCCAGCTGTCTTAACCAGTTTAAGACAAAATGCTTGTTTCTAGAACTGTAATGTGTTCATAATCTATCTGCAATATTAATAGATCATTTCTCAAACAGATGCTGAGTGTTTGGACCCTGCTAGCAGCTGCTATTTGTGCAGGTATGACAACATTTGCTTCTTACACACTAAAATAACCTTACTGAAGATGATTCTGCAAGGACGTGTACATTTAGTTCTTTAGAATCCCAGTTGAATCATGTCATGCGTTGACATATAAGACAAAAAAAAAGCAGTATACATGATTCTAATTGGCCAGCAGTTCTAAAGAACTCCTACTCATCTTGTAATTATAAACAACATCTCTAGAATATGAAACAACAAAACAAAAATTGTCTCCCTCAGTGCCAGTCTCAGCAATATCTCGAAGGGATCTAATCCACGGCCGTCAGTTGTCTCTGGATCTTCCTGAAAGGACAGCGAGGTTGGATTTTATCTCTGCTGATGAGAGAGATCGATTTACTATCTGGGAACATAGAAGCCTCTCTCTCTCGCCCAGTAAACCCAGTAAAGGCCAAGTGAACAGCGCTAGTAATGGCTGGTCTTTCACAATCAGACAAGTTACGTTTGACGACGAGGGAACCTACACCCTGCGCAATACCTTTGGTTCAACCATCTCCAGTTATACAGTGAAGGTCAACAGTGAGTAGTAATTTAAACCTCCATCTCAGAATAATATCTCTGTGACGGTCCACATATCCTCACGTTTTTTTTTTTTTTTTTTTTTTTTTTTTAGCCAACAGGGAAATCATTGAGCGTGTAGCAGGTGAAAAACTAATTATACCACTGCTAGGACTCAAGCAGAGTGATGCCACGCTTCGTTTTTACAGCAATTATTCATCTGTCATCCTGGTGGAGAATGGAGTTCCAGTGGGCAAGGAGAATCCAGACTATATTAACCGGCTTAAAGTGACCAGCGAAATGATCCAGATTCTCAATGTCAATGTGTCAGATTCGGGCAGATACAAGCTCACCGATTATAAAGGCAGACCTGTCTCAAACAATACAATGGTACTAGTGGGTAAGAAAAGACTTTCTTCAGTATATTTTGAATTTGCACACACACACACACACACACACACACACACACAATTAAAAACACAATACACAATTAAAAAAACTGCATTTACTTTATTTTTATGACGTTTTTACAAATGAAGACGTCCCCAAAATGATTTTTTATTTTTTTGTCAGGTTCAGCTCACTTCTGGGTACTTATGTTAAAGGAGTCCTATTATGAGCTCCCTTTTACGAAGCCTTGATTTTGTTTTTGGGGTGTACTAGAATATGCTTTCATGCTTGATAGTTCAAAAAACATATTTCCACATATTTTACATTGTTACAGCACCCTTCTACCCAGTCTGGCCCGTGTCTTTAAGTTCTGGTTTCGATGAAGCCCCTCCTTTCGAAATACGAAATGTGCTGTGATTGGTTTGCTCGCCCAGTGTGTTGTGATTGTGTGACGCACCGTTGTAGAACACACGATGATGATGAGGAATAAGTTCAGAAAGGTCTTTAATAATTCACACAAATAAATTCAGATACAGACAGGCAAACAAACACGACACTGGCAAAAACGAGACTGCACCAAGAACACTGAAAATTCAGGAACTTATATACTTAAGAATGTTAACAAACAAGATGATCATCCAGAATGGATTTCATGCACTGACTTTGCAATAAGGGATTTCACAGGACGTTTCAGAGGGGTATGTTTGTTTTTTTTGGAACTGCTCCATTTCAGGAGAAGCTTTTGTGCGTTGCCTGCATTGTGCTTCTGGAAGCTGTTATCCGTAAAATGTGCCACACACAGATAAACGTTGGGATTATAATGTTTAGGAACAATGTTTAAACTAAATTTAAACCACTCTTAAGTTCCTCAGCTTTTGGAAGGTCAAACAAATGAGTTTTGGAAACGGAGTGGAAAAAACTGTCTCTTTGACATAGTAACAACACTGTCTTCTTTAATGCAACTCAGCCAGGCCTCATCCCCTTTTTTTGCGTATTCCGTGGGCAGGGATTATTTAAATGAGTGACATTGTGACTTCACAAAGCCCTGAAAAAACGTGTTGTAGTCCAAACGAATCTTTCGTTGTAGTTCAAGTGGATTCTGTTAAATAAAATATCTCCCTTTGGAGTGGACTTTGAGCTTTGTAACCTTAAAAGACCAATTTTATTCTGCACTTATGCATTAAATTGACAGTAAAGACATTTATAATGTTACAAAAGATTTCTAATTTAAATTGAAATTATTCAAATAGAATTAATTGGCTCATGACAAAACACACACTCCTCCACAGGTCACCTTTCGGCGTAATCTACGATCTCTCTCACCCTCCCGCCTATCCTCTTTGGTCTCATCCGCACTTCCTCCCCCTAATCAGCTCTTATCACTAGATACTGTACTAACAGTGCAACTGACTCTTTTTTTCTGCACTCTAACATATTGTTAAGACAACTTCTGCCCCCTTGCGTCCAGGCCAGACGTTCTCTGCGAGCATTATTCTCAATTCAGGGCTGCAAAGAGGAAGGGGAGCAAATCAAAAGATCCCACTGACCATGGTTTGTATCAGTCCCTCCTCTCTTCCTTATCTGCTAATGTCTGTACTGCTAAATTGACTTACTACCGCAACAAAATTAACAATTCTTCTGACTCTCGCAAACTTTTCAAAACCTTCTCTTCATAATCCTCCTCTTCCCTAACAACTGATGACTTTCACATTCACATTCAGCCACATTCTTCATATATAAAATAACAACCAGCAGCGGCCAATTTTCCACGCCACAAATCAACACGCACATCTTAACAGCTAACACACACATTCTCTCCACCTTCTCTCTGCTCTCTGAGGCTAAAGTCTCCAAACTCATCCTTTTCAATCACCCTACTACCTGTCCGCTTAAACCTATACCCACTCATCTCCTTCAAGCCATTTCTTCTTCAGTTGATCCCACACTCACTCACATCATCAACACCTCTCTTCACACTGGTACCTTTCCCACAGAATTTAAGCAGGCTCGGATAACCCATCTGCTTAAGAAACCCACTCTAAATCCAGCACTTCTAGAAAATTACAGACCGCTATCCCTTCTTCCATTCATTACTAAAACACAAAAACTGTGTTCAACCAAGTATCGACCTTTCTTGCACAGAACAAGCTCCTGGTCAACTACCAGTCTGATTAGAAAATAAGTAATTTAGCTATATGTTTGTACACTATTATTTCCTCTGTGTGTGAATTTTTGGTTTGACTTTTTGAAGCCTGAAGAAAGTCCTGGTATGTTGCTTGCACGCCTTGCAGCAGAAAATTCTATTCTAGTATGTCACATGGTACAAGACCTTTTACCCAAAAATATCTATAGGGTGTGCTACCATTTTTGGAAAAGGATGTATATGTGTGAGCTGAGCAAAAATCTGGAGAAGTCTTCTGGAGAAGATGCTCGGCTTTGTTGTACAATAAAGTCTATTGAAGCCTTCAAGATAAAAGGCATCTCAGGAACAGCACCCCAGTGATTCAAGACTTACCTCTCAGATAGGTCCTTCAGGGTGTCGTGGAGGGGTGAGGCATCTACGTCGCAACGTCTAGCTACTGGGGTGCCTCAAGGCTCAGTGCTTGGATCTCTTCTCCATCTACATGTCATCACTATGGTCGGTCATTCAGAAACATGGTTTTCCTATCACTGCTATGCTAAGGACACACAACTCTACCTCTCATTCCAACCAGATGATCCGAAGGTAGATGCTCACATCTCGGCTTGCCTGACAGACATTTCTTGCTGGATGGACCATCACCTCCAACTCAACCTTACAAAGACAGGGCTTCTTGTGGTCTCGCTTGATTCGGCAGCACTTGACTTGGCGGCACTTGACTCACTTGACTCGGTGGTACTTGACTCACTTGATTCGGCGGTACTTGACTCACTTGATTTGGCAGCACTTGACTCGCTTGATTCGGCGGCACTTGACTCACTTGACTCGCCGCTTGACTCACTTGACTCGGCGCTTGACTCACTTGACTCACTTGACTCGGCGCTTGATTAACTTCATCACAACTTCTCCATTCGGCTGGGTTTGTCAACCATAACTCCATCCAGGACAGCCAGGAACCTTAGAGTTGTGATTGACGAGCAGTTAAAACTTCACAGACCACATTGCTAGAACTGCCCAGTCCTGCAGATTTGACTTATACAACATTAGAAGGATCAGGCCTTTCCTATCGGAACATGCTACAGAACTCCTTGTCCAAGCTCTTGTTCTATCCAGACTGGACTATTGTAATGTTCTCTTGGCAGGCCTTCCAGCATACACTTTCAAACCTCTGCAACTGAACCAGAATGCTGCAGCAAGAGAGGTCTTTAACGAGCCAAAAAGAGCGCATGTCACACCTCTCCACATAAAACTGCACTGATTGCCAATTCCCACTCGCATCAAATTCAAGGCACTGATGTTTGCCTACAGAACAACTACTGGCTCTGCAACCCTATACCTTAACTCATTACTTCAGACCTAAGTGCCATCCGAAAACTTGCAATTCGCATGCTGACTGCAGGAATGTCCACCAGAGCTGTTACCCGTGAATCGTTCATTTCTCTACGATAAACCGTCTCCAAAGGCATTTCAGAGAATTTGGCAGTACATCCAACCTGTAACGTACGGACAGAGGCGGTCGGATCCATGTGCAGAACTTTATTGTAAGGGAACAGCAGAATCGAAGTCAAACAGGCAAAAGTCGAGGCAGGCAGCACAGGTTCATAAACAGAGTCCAGATAACAGGCTAAGGTCAAGAGTCCAGGGAAACACGAAATACAAAGAACTAGAATCAGAGAATAATGCTCGGAATGGTACGCTTACGCTATACAATACTTCGCACTGAACACAGGGAAAACACGGGCTTAAGACAGGAACTCAATAACCAATAATGAAACACAGCTGAACATAATAAAACATAATGAGTCCATGGGGAAAACATAACACAATGAGAGAGTGCCCTCCAAAGGCTCTCGAGGGCACTACAGCTGCCAATCGTCACACAACCAGCCTCACAAACGCACATTTTCGAGTAGCCTTTTATTGTGGCCAGCCTAAGGCACACCTGTGCAATAATCATGCTGTCTAATCAGCATCTTGATATGGCACACCTGTGAGGTGGATGGATTATCTTGGCAAAGGAAAAAAAGTGCTCACTAACACAGATTTAGACAGATTTGTGAACAATATTTGAGATAAATAGGCCTTTTGTTTACATAGAAAAAGTCTTAGATCTTTGAGTTCAGCTCATGCAAAATGGGGGCAAAAACAAAAGTGTTGCGTTCATAATTTTGTTCAGTGTATTTATCAAAGAATACCGAAATAAATCTTGGTTTCCACAAAAATATTGAGGACAACTGTTTTCAACATTTTAACATTAAAAAAAGTTTCTTGATCACCAAATAGGCTTATTAGAATGGTTTCTGAAGGATCCTGTGACACTGAAGACTGGAGTAATGATGCTGAAAGTTCAGTTTTGCCATCACAGGAAACTTTTTGTTTTGAACAGTACTATTAGTATACAAATGTTAGTATAATAAATGTATTCCTGTGTCTGTGTTTTGCAGGATTATTCTAGAGATTTATGATGCATGTATTAGTAACCACTAATTTTTTTTTTCTTGTCTCATCTCTTCAAATGTTTCATGTAGATCAACATCCACCTAACCATAGTAAGGGTTTTTTAGCTCTACTGCTGCTTGGCATTCCTTGTGGAATCTGCTTCTGCTGCAGAAGGAGAATCTGCAATAGGTGCCAGACCAACAAATCAGAAACAGTGGAGTCCAACAACCTGAATACTGTACCAGTGTCCATACCTTGCAGCAACACAGTGATCAATCCTGTAGGTCCTATAGGTCCTGGAGGCCCTGGCCAGGTAACATAAATGTGAAGATTCGGTCTCTCTCCCTGTCCTGTCCTTTCCTGTCCACCCCCTCCCCCATCTATCTATAAATTACAGGAATGTCTGTTTGTCTGTCTGTCTGTCTGTTAATCGCATATCTCTCGAACCGTTAGTCCGATGGATTTCAAACTTGACAGGTGTCTTGCTACGGGCACAAGAAAGTGCAGTGCCGAGTTTGACATCGTTTGGATTAGAAATGCAAAAGATATCGTTAAATATATTGTTAAATATATATCGGTAAATCTATCGGTAAAAGAAGCACACATTGAAGTTCTTTTAGATGATGTTTAGAAGGTTGTGGTTTAAAAATAAACATTCTGACATAAACACTCTTTCAGCTAAACATTAAGTCATGCACAAATAAAATGTCACTGAACTTTTGCTGTGTACCTGTAACAATGAGCACTCAAACACACCGAACCAACAATTACTAAAAACAGGCAAAAATGTATAAAAAAAATTTTTATAAATAACAAAAACATATTTTTTAACAGGAGCATGCCAAGCAACATTTATAGATGTTAGTCCAGCTGCTGTACATTGTAATGAAAATGAATGTTTTTTGGTTTCTGACCAAAGGGCTACATCGCTGGTTATCCACCTCATCCAGATCAAGGACAGATTCACTATCCTCCAGCAACAGAGTGGAACGGACAACCTGCTGTTTCTCCAAACCCTGTGAGTTCACATAAATCCACACAGAGATTTACATGTACTTTTATTCATTTAACAGATCCTTTTATCCAAAGGGACAAATAAAGAATGTTACAACAAAAGCAGTTCATCCTAAGGAAGCAGTAACTTAAAAAAAAATCTGATAGCAAAACTTTATTTTACTCAAAGTGCTTTGTAGCTTTATAGCTGGTTTAGCTGGCCGGACCAGACATGCAAACTTAAAGCGATAGTTCGCCCAAAAAAAGAAAATTAGCCCATGATTTACTCACCCTGAAGCCATCCTAGGTGTATATGACATTCTTCTTTCAGATGAATACAATCAGAGTTATATAAAAAAATGTCCTGGCTCTTCCAAGCTTTATAATGGGAGTCAATGGGTATTATTTTCTTGGAAGTTCATCAAAGCGCATCAATCCGTGATAAAAGTGCTCGAAATGGCTTTGGGGGGTTAATAAAGGCCTTCTGAAGTGAAGCGATGCATCCGAAAAATATCCATATTTAAAATGGGTGTTACTTTATCGACTAAAATAACTTGCTTCCGGCAAATGGCCGTACGCAAGACGACTTACGTCAAAAGAGAAACCCTTGAACTTGACGCACAACGTAATGATAATAATGATAATAATACTCCTACATCCTACGACATACATTGTCAAGTGTTACTCTTTTGGCGCAAGTCGACTTGCATATGGCTGTCTGCCGGAAGCTAGTTATTTTAGTCGATAAAGTTTCAATATGGATATTTTTCTTACACGAACGCATCGCTTCACTTCAAAAGGCCTTTATTAACCCCCCAGAGCCATTTCGAGCACTTTTATTACAGATGGATGCGCTTTGATGAACTTCCAAGAAAATATACCCATTGACTTCCATTATAAAGCTTGGAAGAGATAGGACATTTTTTAATATAACTGCGATTGTATTCGTCTGAAAGAAGAATGTCATATAGGATGGCTTCAGGGTTAGTAAATCATGGGCTAATTTAAATTTTTGGGTGAACTATCCCTTTAATGCCAAAATTCAAGATATGCTGGTACTTTTTAAACCAACATGAATTCCATGCTTATTATGCTGGTTTGCTATTGGTTTAGCTGGTGAACCAGTATACCACGCAAAACTTAATGCCAAAATGGATGAACTTATTTTCCTTGCTGAAAAGCATATGAAGCAGTAGAGAGTTTTATATTTTAAAGTGAGGGTTATATGTGCACTTTAAACTGGAAACATAAGTGTTGTGCATGTTCTCTTTTTAAGGGCTTTCAACCAGCACATGTGCCTCAAAACCCTGTCTATCCTCCTGACTTTGGAGTTCCCCCCGCTCAGCCTCCACAGTACAATGCTCCTCCCACCCAGTACAACCCATCTGCACCTGTGGTACATCCAACATATGTTGCAATTTTTTTATTTTTTCATCCTGTATGTTAACATTTCTGTTTGCTTATTTTTACTAAAAAGTTAGCAAGTGAATATGTAAAAGACAAAAAGCAACACTAATTAATTAAGCCAGGATTATGCCATAGTTTAATAAGCACATACAAGTAGCTTTTATAAACGTGCCTTTGAAAAAAAAAAAAGTATGCAGATTAATTAAGTAATTCTTAGTGTGCATGTGCTTGTTTGTGTATATTTTTGAACATGTTTACACTCTGTGTGTCCTCAGAACTATACGCCAGTGATGTACAGCGCTCCTCCTGGGCCTGAAGCCGCAGGGTTTAAGATGAATGAACCGTCTCCAACCGTACCACTGCTCACACCTCAACCTGAGGTAAAGCTTACACTTTTGTCACAATCTGCAAAATCATAAACGGGTCATGATAATTTTATTTGGAGTAAACTTTTTGGTGCAATCCTGCAGTGTGCCATCTGTTGTTTCTAGGTGTACAATACTCAAATGTTTCCACACCTGTCCATTCCTTCAGTGACAGCCTTTTTGTATTGTCTGCATTCATTGTGATAAATTTTTAAACAAAATGCAGAAAATGTGCCCAAAATTGCTGAAAATGAACCCACTGACTCTCCGTGTCTCTCTCTTACCCCTCTTTTTCTAGTCTTACCAGTCTGCTATGGCCAGTGTTTCCATGAACTCCGGTGAATCTTGTGTCCAGTTTGACATTAACAAAGGAAAGTCTTCTGGCAGCAACTTCCTTTAGATACTCCAAAATCCTGAATTATCACTGTAAGGGAAACAAACACTTAGCTGTTAATTAGATTCATACAAACCCAAGCCTTTAAAAATAAAGGTGCTCTAAGCAATGTCGGTTGACGCCCCTTCTTGTTGACGTTTAAAGTATTGTCAAACAAAACGGGGGCTAGCTAGACCCTCCCTCCTCCTCATCTGCGCACTAACCCCCCAAACCCCGCCCCCAAATCCTTCTTGTCGGTTATTGGCTGAAACAGTTTCGTGGTGCGGGTTAGCCCAGTTTGTTTTTGTTGCCATTTGTGGAGTCTGGGTTGTCTGCAGAGACCGCAATTTTTTACAGTGTGTTCAGGGGACAGACAGCTAGCGGATAGTGAGGAGATGTTTGCTGTATGTGACAAAAAATCTTTTGGCCTAAAAAACATGTGACATTGCTTAGTGCACCTTTAATAGTAGGAAAGAATCTGTTTAATGAAACCAATTATATATATTTTACTGTTAGAAAGCTACCACCATATTGTCAGCCAAATGTTTTTAATATTATACTCATGCTACAGGGACAAAACTATGAGGATTTTCCTTCTAAATGGGCTTCCAACGACACCAATTGCTGAAAGGTGTGCATACCCTTACGAAAAAGAAGTTTATTCAAGTGTGCTATTAGTATACTTTCTTTTAAACTAAAAATTTTAATAAAAAAAGTCTACTTTTTATGTACTTCTCAGAAATATACTTCAAATTGCACTTAAGTATACTTGACTAATACTGACAGAAAAGTCTAAGTATATATTTGGCCTATACTTGTTGAATGAGATATACTTAAAAAGTATAATTAAGTATTCTTGGCTTGTACTTGTGTTTTTACTATGTTGATTAAGTAGCTTATTAAATACTTTTTTTTTTTTAAACATACACACTGTTTTATACACTAACATGTTCAAGTTTATATAGTAACAAGCTTTCGAGAGTAAATAAAATAAGCATGGAACTGAACCTGATCTTGTATGTACACGATAATAATTACCCTTACGAACAATATGTTTATTCAAGTGTTCAAATAGTAAACTTCTTTTCAACTAAAAATAAGAAAGCATACTTTCGGTCTACATTTTATATACTTCTCAAAAACTACTACTTTAAATTACACTTAAGTGTACTTGACTTATACTGAGAGAAAAGTCCAAGTATATTCGGCCTGTACTTGTACTCAATCTTTTGATCGAGATATACGTAAAAGTATAATTAAGTACTCAAAGTATATTTGGCTTGTACTTGTGTTAACTCTTTTGATCGAGTAGCCTATTAAATATACTTTTTTACATAGTTTTTCATATACAGTCTTATGAAACTTACATTGTTTGAAAATATTGGATATTGATTAAAATATTGATATAAAACAGATATATTTCTATTTCTGCGTATCTGAATTTTTGTGTAGGCTAGTCCACTGGTAGTGGACAGGAATTTACTTTAATTCTACTTCAGTCTTTCCCCACCATTGAATGAATCTTCCAGCTATCCATGTTTTCACTGTTATACGGTAGGGGGCGCTATGACACATCTTCTAGTACAGGATCTCCGGATCAAAACACAGGAGAAGAAGAAGCTGAAACAAGTGATAGAAGATTGCTCACGCAAATGTAAAATAACCAAAATAACGTGATCATCAAACATTAAACAGCACGTAAATCAAAACTGCTTAATGTTAACCGTACTTTAATAAATTAAAAACAAACAAACATTTTATTAGCTTCATGCATGCTTTTTTATCAACACTTGAATGTTGGTAAGTTTCATAAAAAAAGGAAACATTTTAATCAAAAAAGTTGAGAAAATCTAATTTGTTAATTAATCAGATTCAGAACGATGATGAAAACACAGATGGAGTAGATCGAGTCCAACAACCCCAAAGCTTCAGTCGCTTTCTCTTCATGGGTTACGCTTCATTTCATTTGTTAAAAGTATTTTTTCAAGTATAAAAAATAACATGTCAACATAGGATAGGCCTACTGCAATTGCAAATATAATATATAAATAGTAAACTATAAGTATAATGTTAAGTTCACTTAAAGAAAACTTTCAGTAAACTACTAGTTTAGTAGTTTTATAGCCTACTGTTTTCTTTAAGTGAACTTCACATTATACTTATAGTTTACCAATTATATATTATTTTTGCTCTTTTAGTGTACTCTCAGTAAAATACTAGTTTAGTAGTTTTATACTGCAAGTATACTTGCAAGTTTTCTTTTAGTGTACTCTCAGTAAACTACTAGTTTACTTAGTTTTATACTATGAGTATACTTCAAAGTGTACTTAATATTATAAACTAAAAATTTGCTACAAGTATTAAAATAGTAAACTACTAGTATACCCATAAGTTCACTTGCAGTACAAATGAGAAACGTAATTATGAACTAGTTGTGCACTTAAAGTTTACTACTGTTACACTTATAGTACACTTAAACATATACTACAAGTGGGCCAATTTAGTCCCAAGCGGTATTAAAATAGTACACTTACAAGTTTACTACTAGTACATATTGACATTAGTATACTTACTACATAATGTATACTTAAAAATATACTTGAACATTACTTAAGTATACTTCATTAAATGAACTTGACATACTTCTTTTTCGTAAGGGTATTGAAGCAGCAATGCAATATCCATAGACAAACACCGGCCAAAATCTGCCTGACTAGAAAATAAAATAATTTTGTGTGTGTGTGTGCCTATACAATGGAAGTTAATGGGCAGTTGGGCATCAATATTGTTTGGTTTCCATCATTCTTCAAAATATCTTAGGGTTCCACAGAAGAAAGAATTGCATACAGGTTTGAAATGACATGGGGGAGAGTAAATGATGACAGAATTTTCATGTTTTGGGTAAACTATCCCTTGAAGATGACCATTTTCACTTTATTAATCCAACAGTCAGCCTTAAAAAAGCCATGCTCTACACTTTTGTGGAACTAATAAGCCATTACCGTAATTTAGTACGTTTTTGTACAGGTGTCCCTCTACTCGACAATATATATTTTCATTCTTATTATTTTTGCCAACTTTTGTTTTGTACATGCTTACCCCTGCCTCTTGAGAGGCATCTAGTTTTACGAAGAAAAAAAAAAACGGTCTTGTGTAACTAAAATATACAATGTTATTTTTACCTGCTTAAAGAGCACATAGACCCCAGGAATTAGCCACATGTGCAACATCATTACAGGAGGTGTGTGTATGTATATGTGTGTGTGTGTGTATATATATAAATACACACACACTATTAATTTAACACATGTACACATTAATATGCATGTAAGTGAATTCTCATTCAACTCTCTCAGAGATTTTTCTCAACTAACACGAATAGCCTCTTTTCTGCATTTGCTTATAGGGGATTTTCAAAGTGCTGTTAGCTGGAATTAAACAACAACTGCCTCAAACCAAAAAAAAAAAACAATTATACTTGAGTCTTGAATATATGCATTAAATGTTATAGTGATGTAGTTTTATAGTATAGGGTAAACATTGTACTTGCTTAATCTAAATGGCCTTCATATCACAATGGATATAGAAATATAAAAAGGCTTACCATTGTTCTGAAGTAAAATACTGTTATCAATTTCTGCCAACATGACTGTATTTCTTACTGTTTATATTGTATGTTCATACTACATGTTCTCTGTATCTGTTCTCTAGAGCCAACTGGCAATACCTTATCCCTTGTTATATGTTGCATTATCGGTAGTTTTATTTTATTGTTACGCTTTAAACTATAATAAGAAGGACAATAAACATGACTATCGAAATAAATATTCATGTCATTTCTGAACTAAATTTCTAGCACATAGCTAGAATCGAGCAGCTCCAGGATTGTATCAAAATAGACATTGCAGCTGCGATTCTTTTTTTATTGCTGAGGTTTCAGTAAAGTCAGCATAACAAGAAAGATTCCACTGGATTCAGCCAGTTGAAGGGGGTATGTAGAATAGGGTACAAAAAAGAAAGCAAAAATTTAATAAAATGGAGATTCTGGAATTTGAGCCGAAGATTTGCATCTGGTTCAGAATAAATGCAGAGACCAATTTTTCCAAGTTTGTGATTTCTGACTTTAGGAATTCATTTCAGGCTTTTTCTTCTCATAACGAGCCATAGAAAAATGTAGTGGATTGTTCTCATGGAGAATTAATTTATTTGAACAGGATTTGTTAACAAATTTATTATAATGAACTGATTAAATACATTTTGTAATGTTGCCCTGTCCATCACATCCATGAATAATTTACAAAGCAACAAAAACAAGATAATTTAAATGTAGCGTAAAGACATTTTGCAGTTCTCTGTATCTTAAAAGCCCCAGACACTGTAAAATGAACTTTTCTCTGTGTTTGAACATTCATTATTTGTTAACAATTAAACCCCTTAAGGCCAATTCACACCACACAGACAAACGCCAACAAACACGTTTATTAGGTTTTGTCCCTGTCTGCGTTGGTCAGGGTTTGTTTTCACCTGACCGCACATGTTCAATCAGTGTTTTGACATGCGTCGAAATCCAACGACCAACTTTTTTTTTTGCCGTTTGTCTGTGGGATGTTAATTGGCCTTTAAATGCCAGATCCAGTTGTGGTATGGGACCAGTTTACTTGAGAATCAATAATCTTTTAACTAACTCTTGAAATATCAATGCACCCTCCAAGTTTAGACAAACAAAACGCACTTGTGGTTGTATTGCAGGGGGTATCAAGTCACAATAACATGCTGAATTCTATCCTTGGATTTACAACTGTGGCAAAGAGAAATGGAAATTAAAGTTACATCTGGTCTGGTGAGGGTTTCCATATCATTCCATTTTGCTTTTCTCCATCTCTCTTAGTCGTCTCTCCAGCATCTTGATTTTGTTTTCGAGGTGCGTATCTGGCTTTGCAGATGTTGCGCCTATTCCTAACAGGACACAAACACACGCCAGGCCTGCTAATCTCATCGCTGTGGTTTCTGCAGAGGCTCCAGTGTCCCTGAGAATCAATCCAAACATGCCAATGGCAAAGGTGACCTTCAGCAGCCACATAGCCTGCCTCACAGCACCGACAACCAAGCGCAGGATGAAGGATAGTATCATGTAGGCCACAACAGCCAGAAGGGCCCACTGAGTGACAAAAATCACTCCCTCCGGAGTAACTTTTTGGAAAGGTTGCTTGGCTAGATAGACACATGGAAAAATGTACATGTTAGCATGTGCTTTGGTTTAAATACATTTTAAATACGATTTTTTTTTTTTTTTTACAATTACCGTCCATTCCTGCTGATTCCAAGATTTCTGTGACATAGTGGATGACCGTGTTAAGAGCTGATGCCACTGCATCTGATAGCCACTTCACACCGCTTTGTAGAAACTGGTGCCCATAAATAAAATACAATAGTGTAAATGTTTTTCCAAAAAAGAACTCCAGAGAACAGCACAACGTCATCCAAAAAGCATCATTATGTAGTAATATCATATACAGTAGCCCTGGAAAAGTATTTGGACACTACTCATAGAATTGTATGAATTTCACTGCATTAGCAAAATATCAAACCATATCTGCAAAACAAATGACATAAGTTCTGCTTTTCTCAGAACTAACCTCACTTTTCTTAACCACTTTGAACTGGTGTCAAAAAGCTGGTGTCAAAGTCATTTTCACTGAAATTTCAGATTACCTCAAGTTCACACAGAGGTTTATCAAAGTAACCCAAGGTTTTCATCACATTACCAAACATGTGAAACGGATTTAACATCAGGTCTGGTCTGACCACCGGAAGGTTTCCAAATATTACATTGATTGATTTGCTTTTAAAAACTAATAAACTTATTTTTGTCAAATGCTTCGCTTTCCCCACCAAATAAAATAATAATAATAAATAAATAAATGCATACTTTGTTTCTCATATAGCCAGCATTATTAATTGTATATGCTGTTAATGAACTAGATAGAGAGGTAGATACCAAAAAGCATTTACAATATGAAAAATGATACAATAAAAGACGTTTTTTCCACAATATCAGCTCACCTTGAGACACAGATTGATTCTCTTTTCGCCGACTGTAGAGACCAGGAAACTGTGTGCTTCCTCCGAAAAACCTGTGATGATGGACCGCACATTTTGCAGGGGACCAGATTGCTTGTCCCATTCGAAAGAGTGACACAATGGTATCAACTGATATGAAACTGAAAGTATAAGTGTTGTAAAATATAAACACCGACCCATTTTAAAAAGGTCGCGTTAACTAGACAACGCTGGCGCAGAATTCTTATGCGTGAGGGAAATGTTCTTCTCAAACAAACGACGTGTTTAAGAAACAACTGAACTGGCAACACAGTGTCGTACACAGACAGACTCAAGACGATGAATTCAGGCGTCTCCGCTTGGGGATTAGTAAAGTTTTGGATGGGCTTTTTTCCATATTAGAGTCAGATAAATTGTCTTACAAAGGATGCCAGCTCTACCCATCAATATTAAACTTGAGGTTTGCTAAACTAATCCATGAAGCGTTTATTTTCCACGAGCAAATGCCTGCTTCCTCTTTCTTTCCTGGAAGGAGGAGCAACCCCGCCGCCTATCGATGACTAAAGAGACTGTACGGTATACATCATCCAGAAAAATACGACACATAAATTGATCCCATATGAGAATTGTGTAAGACTAACTCTCACAACCATGTTTAGCCTTCGGGGGAATTTTAAAAATGCCAGAAAAATTATGTATAAATTAATTTACCAACGGAGCAGTGTACCTTAAATTGTGAAAAACATAAAGAATAGTGTGCACACTATAAGCCAACATCATGACACACATTGTCATAGATTTATTTATTTTTATTATTTATTAGTAAATTATTATTTTTTCCTCCTACAAATACAATACAGCAGATTGAGAGAAAAATACAAATTCACAAAAAAGATCAATTAAAAAGGTTTCTGATAAAATACAACTTTTTTTTCAATTACTGTTATTATTATAACCTTTTTTATATGTGTGAATGTTCTGCCTTAAACAGCAGATAGGCCTGTTTGGTGGGGCAACGCGTTGTGAAAAAAGGCTCAAAAAGAGCCATGATCGTTGTGTCATTTTGAGCATTCTCCATGGCTGTCTGACCCCACACATCTCTCTCCTGGAGAAATGAGGAAAAAGAGTAAATCCAAACGTTTATCTAGTGTCAGTGTGTTTAATATTAAATTCATTTTTTTAAATAAACATTTACTATTAACCACCTCATCCTTCTCTAATATTGTCCAATAAGAAAGTAGTTCATACCAGTGGTGTGGCTCCATATCCCAGTAGTCTGCTGATCATAGATTTATCTCCCAGATAAACCGCCTCATGCATTACAGTGCGTTCATTATAGTCTTTAGCGTCCATGTCGACTCCTGATAGAAACCAAGCACACAGCAGAGGGTAATCTCTGTTATGTACCGCTCTGTTGAGTGAAAGGGTTGAACACAAATAAGGTCATTGACTCATAAAATTATATTAATAAGAAACATCGATTGTGCTGTAAAATGTTGTGTGACATTTATGTGTGAGATACTACATGGTAAATGCTTACTGGATCATTTCCATGGCAATTCTCACTGTCTGTAGTCTAACAGTGACTCCTTTTAAGCTCAGGAGTTTAACAGCATGACACTGCCTAAAAGAAACACCAATACAGCTACAGTGACATGTGTGAGCTGAGCATGTACAAATGATTAATTTATGCCCCCAATATTAGTTTAAATTACATTGAGTGAGAATTCAGCCTGAGATAATATAGGATAAATGAGCTGCTGTCAGTAAAGTGCTGCAGGGATGACATGTTTTTGTAGGCTGATTTGTAAACACAATGATGCTGTAAAAGCGGACTCGTGCATAGATGAGTCGGCTGATGACGTTTAATGTCCCCGACAACCTGATGTATTCTATGCCGTATAATAAAATGTGACAATATTTTTAGCTTGTGTTAACCACAGACCTTATTTCATGCATTTAACCAAGAAACCATTGACTTCAGGGTGATGGAACTGGAAGTTGTAAATAATTTCTGGGTTTTGGCCGACAAAAATATATCACACCTACAGCAGTCTATAAAGCCAGACAGAGCGAACACTTAATGATGATGAAATAAAAGTTGACATTTTACTAGTCAAAAATATCAGCTGAATTAACTAATAATCGCATGTGTACTGTACCTGTTTTTAATGGCCATGTACATTGGGCAGTTTCCAAAGCGGTTCTTGCGATGAGGAGATGCCCCCCTTGACAGCAAGAAATTAATCATCTCTAAATTCCCCAACTCACATGCTGTATGAAGGGGCGTGAATTCGTCATAGGTTTCACAACTGGCATCCACCTTATGAGGTTTAAAAAATAAATAAATCACTTTGGGTATGTAATAGGTTAGAATTCAAAATTTTTGCTGTCCATATTTTTAGTTTAGGAAATGTGAAGTTTAGTAACCTTCTCGAGGAGGACTCTTAGTGAGATGAAATCGTTGTTTTCCACAGCTCGGCAAGCAAAAGAAGGAATGATTCTGTCAACGAGCGATTTCCTTATCTGAGAGATAGCAAGGTATAAACTCAAGCCTATGAACATATATTAATAAGTTGCATGTAAAGCCTAACTTTACATGCTATTACTGAAAAGGTGAAATTGTTCTAAATTTGTTTAAAAATCATAATATTATATTAATGTTATTAACGATAATGTTAGGTGTCTGCTCAGATATTTCTTTCAATAACAGGGGCCGTATTCACCAAAAAATCTTAAGGCTAAAATTTGCTCCTAATGAGGAAATTTAAGAGCAACTCTTTAAAAATAGCGGCGTGTCGCTCCTAATTTTAGGACTCCAAAAATTGTCATCTAAGAGTATTTCACTTATCTAATTAATCTATTTAATGCTAAAAGTAGCTCCTTAACCTAGAACAGCTTAAAAGTCCCCCTGAATAGAAACTCAGAAAAGATCCAAAGCATTGCTGTTTTCAATGAGCGTTGTAACCCAGTAAATATATTGGAATATTACACTGACATCGACCTTTTAAAAAGGAATCACATGCATCGCAAAGGTGTTTTCATAGTTTTAAAGTAAACGGTCAGTCCAGTTTGACTCTCTTTGTCTTATCTTTTGTGCTTCTGTATTATCCATCATGATGATGTTCTATACAGGTACATAGTGTACGTGTATATATACACATATAGTGTATAAAATGGTGATTGCATTTGATATAGTTATATATCTCTATCTTTATTTCTCCTTCCCGCTGTCTGCCTGCTACACTGCTGTGTGCAATTTAAAATTTACATCATCCATAGAAATGAGGTCAACTCCGCCTCAATCTTATATTGGGAGTTCCTTGGTAAAACTTGCTTTTAAGAGTTTTGTGAATAGGTTTTTTAAGCTAAAACTCTTTAGCTAGAAAACTCTTAGTGGTAAAATAAAATTCTTTGTTAATACGGCCCCATATCTGTATATTCATTGCTAAGTTTCCAAACTACAAACTAAGTAATTGGATACTGTATGCAAGTGAGTCAGTTCATGCCTCTACACTTTTGCCATGTAGCCACTGAAGTTTCAGCACTTTGCCCAGTCTTTCCAAGAACTTTTTGTCTCGGACCACCACTCCATCAATGATGATAGGCTTAAAGATGTCATCTCCCTTAGCTTGTCTCTGCATCACATAAACTATGAGAGGGACGGAAAGGAAGGTGAATTGTTACTTTAAAAAAAAAAAAAAAAAAGTTCTAGTAACTTTTCATTTAACTTTGTAACTTTTCATCAACCTTCATGCTCACAGGAAACAAAATCAATACTTTCCTTTTTTTTTTTTAAATCACATCCCTAATTTGTCTTTGATTCTACGGGCAATGCCAATAGGCTCCAAAGAGCATTCTTGCGTCAACTACTCGAATCATTACACTTAGGGCCTACTATTATTAAATTTGATGGACTACAAATCATGTGTCGGTATACAGTAAGTTACTTGTAAGTTGATGTTCCGATATAAGCTACCTAACAGCACAACAACACGCTAGGACAGTGGTCTCAAACTCAGTTCCCGGAGGGCCACTGCCCTGCAGAGTTTAGCTCGCCTCTAACCCTAATTAAAGACACCTGGCCCAGCTAAACAAGCTCTCCAGGATTGCTAGAAACTGTTTTTGAGCTGGTTGGAGCTGAACTCTGCAGGACAGTGGCCGCAGGAGCGGAGTTTTGAGACCAATTCACTGAGTAACGTTAGGCCTAATGTTTTATCTTGCCTTTCGTTTAATAAAAATGAGATTGCCCTGTGACGAGAAACAAACCTTAAATATAGTAGAAACTGATGTGTAATATGTAGTCAGCCAAAAAAATTGCTTATTTCAGGGAGGTCCGCAACGGCGTCTGTTGTTAGCAACGAACGAACAGCTCATGAATATTTAATAGACAGAGCGAATTTAGGCCACGCCCACACCGGGGAAAACACAATCCAACCGTCTACGTCCACATTAATCCGAATACATTTTTAAAACGGCGTATTTGCGACAGGCATGGGCGTAGGTTTGGTCTCAGCTTTGGTGGGGACATCCCATCTGACCTCCCCCCCCCCCATCTCATTATATTGTATCCTGACCCCGATACACCATCCTGTATACTGTCAATAAAGAGCTAGTATAACTGTATAATCTCAAAAATGCACTCTCAAAAAATAAAAACCTGAGACTGTAATGCTGAACAACCAAACATTTTATTTAACATAAATTATTATGTATCTATCTTCTATTCTATATCAAATTCTATTGATATATTCTATCCTTAAAAAAAAAGCAAGTTTAACCCTCCTACCAGATATTGTTATTTGGATATTATCAAACAAATAATGATTCATTATATTTGAATAACCAACAGTGTTTACTTTTGCCTTTTTTACATTGCCAATATGTTTTTCCAGACATGTGTCTAGCAAGTAGGCTACACTCACAAATACAATACATAAACAGAATGTAGAAACGAAAAATGTCTCAGATGATCCACTGTTTATGACTGCAAGATTCTAAGTTAAGGTAGGCTAATTAACATTCAGTGACTTGCTAACGTCTATCATGATAGCGCGACTTCTGTGAGTCTATCCGTGCTTCACACCCCTAATTAATGCTCCTAACCTTGAAAAATTGCAGAAGCTAGGTTTAACTGTAACAATATCCTGGGTAACCAGGATCACCAGTTAATACTATTTTCCACAGTAGAATCTGCATTTGAAAGCATGGTCAGTCACTACTACTGCTAGTTATTTGTGTGGCTAGTTATTTTTGCCTACTTACACTCTGCTTTATGAAAAAGCTTCGTATGTCCCCTTTCTTCTTCTTGGGTGACATAGCTGATCTACTACAAAGTACAAAAAGGGGCAAAAAACGGAATATTAAAATGTTTTACCCTGGCCTTTGTATATGCATGGATATGTGCATGCAGAGAGACAGCCCTGGGAACTTACCGTCGGCGTCGTCACGCGCGCGCACGCGCGCGCACACACACACACACACACACACACACCACCCGCTCGCTGCCAGTGAGTGCAAGCACAAAAAGTAGTCCCGGCCCGCGCGTGTAGCCTGCCTGTCAGATACCCCGCCGCCAATCAAATTACGGCGTATCTTGTACTGTCGTCGTCCTGGCCGTTGGAATCGATCCAAATAGCAGCGCAAATATCAAAATAGCAGTTCAAAGGAGCTTGCTAAATATTGGTGGGGACAAATTTGTCATCTCAAAATATTGATTGGGACTACCTAGCGTCCCCCCCTAAACCTACGCCCTTGGCGACAGGGATAGATTAGTTTACAGAAAAATAATAGACCTATATAAAACTGACATTTGGATATTTGACTTACCAGTGACAAAATGTTTAGGTTACTGCACACGTGTGTATTAGTGCATATTGTCAGGATCCCACAATGAATCCATTCTTCCAGCTGATGATTCACGTCTTATTGATTGATGTAGCTTCTAAACATTATTTTTTATAAATAAATGTATTTACTTTTCCCTTTGATTAATATTTTGTGTGCCAAGATTTTTTCTTCTGGAAATTGGCAATTCGACAGCTTTAAAATCAGTCTAACTGTTACGAACTGCTCCAAGACACGAAGGTTGAGATCCAAATGCAGCTTTAATTATGGGGCAATCCAGACACGTAATAATATACTGGCAATAGGTCAAAACACAGGTAGGCCATACAAACAAACAAGGCAGGGGGTCAGAAGCAAAAGAGTAATCCACGGAACAGGCAAGAAAACCCAAGAGACATGAAACCAGGGAAAACGCTCGGAAATGCAGTGCAACAACATACAAGACTTCGCAGTGAGTGAATGAGTGAACATGGTATAAGTAGGCTGAGACTAACAGGGTAATGAGACACAGGTGAATGCAATCAGTGATGATGAGTCCGGGCAGTGAGTTATGGGAAATGTAGTTTGTGATGGAGTGATAAAAGTCTGGTGTGGAGTGCCCTCTGGTGGCTCTCAAGGGCACTCCAGCTGGTGACCGTTACACTAACAACTGGGAACTATAATAATCCCACCGGTCACAACTGTGACCGCAGCTTCTTTTCTTATTTCTGGAAGCTCTAAAAATATTTTTATTGACTTTGGGCAAGAAATTCAACTTTTAAATGACAAAATAGATTGTCTTGATTAAAATCAATTAATGTCATGTGACTAGTGTGAAAGGTCACACGACCAGATCAGTTCACTTCCTGCTTGCACATCTAGAAGAAGATGTCTTCCTCAGACTACTACAAAAAGTAGTATATAAAACATCTTAATTTACAAATAGAACTATCATATTTTGTACATATATTCTTTAAAGGGTCTACTATTTGAGAATTATACTCCTGCATACAATGGAGGCGGAGAACATGGTCCACTCAGACTCAATATCTCCAGCCTCCCTCGGGATCCGGTCGTGGCTCTGCCGGAGGTGGGAGTTGAAGATCTCTCTGACAGGAGATTCGGCCAAACGTTCCCAGCAAACCCTTACAGTACGCTTGGGTCTGCCGTGTCTGTCCAGCTTCCTCCCCCGCCATCGGATCCAACTCACCACCAGGTGGTGATCAGTTGACAGCTCCGCCCCTCTTTTCACCCGAGTGTCCAAGACATACGGCCGCAGGTCAGATGAAACGACCACAAAGTCGATCATCGACCTACGACCTAGGGTGTCCTGGTGCCACGTGCACTGATGGACACCCTTATGCTTGAACATGGTGTTCGTTATGGACAAACTGCAACTAGCACAGAAGTCCAATAACTGAACACCGCTCGGGTTCAGGTCGGGGGGGCCGTTCCTCCCTATCACGCCCCTCCAGGTGTCACTGTCGCTGCCCACGTGAGCGTTGAAGTCCCCCAGTAGAACGACGGAGTCCCCAGTCGGAGCACTTTCCAGCACTCCTCCCAGAGACCCCAAGAAGGCCAGGTACTCTGCACTGCCGTTCGGCCAGTAAGCACACACGACAGTGAGAGACCTATCCCCGACCCGTAGGCGCAGGGAAACGACCCTCTCGTTCACCGGGGTAAACTCCAACACATGGCGGCTGAGCTGGGGGGCTATAAGCAAACCCACACCAGCCCGTCGCCTCTCACCATGGGCAACTCCAGAGTGGTGAAGAGTCCATCCTCTCTCAAGGAGTGTGGTTCCAGAGCCCAAGCCATGCGTAGAGGTGATCCCGACTATCTCTAGTCGGAACCTCTCAACCTCACGCACGATCTCAGGCTCCTTCCCCGCCAGCGAGGTGATGTTCCACGTCCCTAAGGCTAGTTTCCGTGTCCAGGGATCGGGTCGTCGAGGCCCCCGCCTTCGACTGCCGCCCCATCCTCTCAGCCCGGGTGGTTGTGGAGGCAAAAACTCGGGCCTGGGAGGAGTTCGGTGAGGCCATGGAGAAGGACTATCGGCTGGCCTCGAAGAGATTCTGGCAAACTGTCCGGCGCCTCAGGAGAGGGAAACAGTGCCCTACCAACGCTGTTTACAGTGGAGGTGGGCAGCTGTTGACCTCAACTGGGGATGTCGTCGGACGGTGGAAGGAATACTTCGAGGATCTCCTCAATCCCGCCGTCACGTCTTCTATTGAGGAAGCAGAGGCTGGGGGCTCAGAGGTGGACTCGTCCATCACCCTAGCTGAGGTCACCGAGGTAGTCAAGAAACTCCTCGGTGGCAAGGCACCGGGGGTGGATGAGATCCGCCCTGAGTACCTCAAGTCTCTGGATGTTGTGGGGCTGTCTTGGCTGACACGCCTCTGCAGCATCGCGTGGCGGTCGGGGACAGTGCCTCTGGGATGGCAGACCGGGGTGGTGGTCCCTCTTTTTAAGAAGGGGGACCGGAGGGTGTGTTCCAACTACAGGGGGATCACACTTCTCAGCCTCCCTGGGAAAGTCTATGCCAGGGTACTGGAGAGGAGAATACGGCCGATGGTGGAACCTCGGATTCAGGAGGAACAGTGCGGTTTTCGTCCAGGCCGTGGAACACTGGACCAGCTCTATACCCTCTACAGGGTGCTGGAGGGTTCATGGGAGTTTGCCCAACCAGTCCACATGTGCTTTGTGGATTTGGAGAAGGCATTCGACTGTGTCCCCCGAGGCGGCCTGTGGAGGGTGCTCCGGGAGTATGGGGTCCCGGGTCCTTTGCTAAGGGCTGTCCGGTCCCTGTATGACCGAAGCAGGAGCTTGGTTCGCATTGCCGGTAGTAAGTCAGACTTCTTCCCGGTGCATGTTGGACTCCGGCAGGGCTGCCCTTTGTCGCCGGTTCTGTTCATAATTTTTATGGACAGAATTTCTAGGCGCAGCCAGGGGCCGGAGGGTGTCAGGTTTGGGGACCACGCGATTTCGTCTCTGCTCTTTGCGGATGATGTTGTCGTGTTGGCCCCCTCACACCAGGACCTTCAGCATGCACTGGGACGGTTTGCAGCCGAGTGTGAAGCGGCTGGGATGAGAATCAGCGCCTCCAAATCCGAGGCCATGGTCCTCAGTCGGAAAAGGGCGGCTTGCTCACTTCAGGTTAGTGGAGAGATCCTTCCTCAAGTGGAGGAGTTTAAGTATCTTGGGGTTTTGTTCACGAGTGAGGGAAGGATGGAACGGGAGATTGACAGACGGATCGGTGCAGCTTCTGCAGTAATGCGGTCGATGTACCGGTCTGTTGTGGTGAAGAAAGAGCTGAGCCGTAAGGCAAAGCTCTCGATTTACCGGTCAATCTACGTTCCTACTCTCACCTATGGTCATGAGCTTTGGGTCATGACCGAAAGGACAAGATCCCGGATACAGGCGGCCGAAATGAGCTTTCTCCGCAGGGTGGCTGGGCGATCCCTTAGAGATAGGGTGAGAAGCTCGGTCACTCGAGAGGAGCTCAGAGTAGAGCCGCTGCTCCTCCACATCGAGAGGGGTCAGCTGAGGTGGCTCGGGCATCTGTTTCGGATGCCTCCTGGACGCCTTCTCGGGGAGGTGTTCAGGGCACGTCCCACTGGGTGGAGACCCCGGGGAAGACCTAGGACACGCTGGAGAGACTATGTCTCCCGGCTGGCCTGGGAACGCCTCGGTGTCCCCCCGGAAGAGCTGGAGGAAGTGTCCAGGGAGAGGGAAGTCTGGGCATCTCTGCTTAGACTGCTGCCCCCGCGACCCGGCCCCGGATAAGCGGAAGAAGATGGATGGATGGATGGACTGCATATATATTTTGCTCGTAAGACTTGTAAATTTGTTTACGGTCACAATTGTGAACGGTAGTCTAACACAGTGCTTCAATTGAAAACAGAGGTATGGGCTGGTATTGGCTGGTATTGGCAGGTTTTGGCAATCCTACACTGAACATGCCACACCTGTGAGGGGGATGGATGATCTTGGCAAAAGAGAAGTGCTCACTAACACAGATTTAGACAGATTTGTGAAGAATATTTGAGAGAAATAGGCCTTTTGTGTACATAGAAAAGGTCTTAGATCTTTGAGTTCAGCTCGTGAAAAATGGGGGCAAAAACAAAAGTATTGCGTTTATAATTTTGTTCAGTGAAGTGATGAGTGTCCCAGAAACGGTCAATGTGCTGGACCTTCTTGACGTACGTGACCCCCTTCCCCCAACCCCAAATTGAAAGTGACTGTGATAGTGATGGCTCAGATAGGGAGTACCAGGGTGAAACAGCCCATTTGCCAAGTAGACTATTGAATGGCGATCCAGAGGTGAATTATCTGGAGGATTGGGCAGATGTTCATGAGAACCAATTGGTGTGCACCACACATGACCACAAACAACCCTTTCTACAACGTACGGCCCATCTTCAGTGCACTGAATGAGTGAACACACATCTCCCTGAAACTGGCCTAGGACAGGGCCCAAGTGTAGTCATGGTCTAGCCCATACGGGTCTAGCCGAACAAGCAGAAGTTCCTCCAGGGTGTAACTTTGTACCTGACAACCTTTTCACCTCACTAAGCCTTCTTCACGAAATGACAAAACGAGATATTGGATGTCTTGGAATGAATTGTGTCAATAGGTCTAAAGAATTTGAATGAATTCTGACTATGTTGTTTCCCACCGGTCACTATTGTGACCGAGTATAAAACCTAATATTTCACTAACTTAACCAACATAAAATCAAAAAAGGCATAATGTTTGAGTCTTAGGGAAGTCTAAGAAGTAAAATGGATGTACTCAAGTTGCAAGAAAAAATTTGGGATTAAACGGGTTAATTTTCACGACTCACGAGCAAACCCCTATCATCGTTTACAAGCTAATTATCTTATGGTATTGCTATGTGACTGACGAATTGCCCTGCACAGAAACGTTTTCTATCAACTTAGCAAACATGTACATGTAATCATTTAGCAGACGCCTTTCCAAAGCGACTTACAAAGCGTTCAAACCAACAATTTAGTGCAATAATATGTAGGCCTAAAATAGAATAGAATAGAATGTGTTAATGGTTCAGTGTTGGCGATAATGATGCATATTTAGCCATTTCTTGAAAATGGCTTAGTTGCTCGCATGATCAGAATTGTAAATTGTAAATAAAATAAAACAACAAAATATTACCTTTAAACTTGAAATGTAACTTTAATTAAAAAAACATATTTAGACGTTTATATTGATGATATTAGATTAAAATATATATATAAAATTCACTTTCAATTCATTTTCACTTAAAATACAACAACATTTCAGTGCATTGCATTCTTGCACACAATGCACAGCATTACATTGGTTAAGCAAAACCACACATATGAAGTGGATATGTTAGTTTAAGGATCTCTGATTAAAATCCAGAAATGTGATACATCAGGGGTACATCTGTCATACATGGGGGCACAAATGTTATACTTGGGATGATCAGCATCCTAAGCAGGATGTCATTGGCCCAGGGTCTGAGAGAAAGAGAGTGCATATTAGCTTTGAATTTGATCCTAAATGTTCTTAAATGTAACACAACATTTCATAGTGTTTGTAAGAAGTTTGTTTCCATATTAAACTTTTTTCCTAATGTAATTCTGAATAGAAGTGCTGAAAAGAATACAAGTTTTCATGCTCACTTTGCCAAAACACTATGAAAACATCAAATCTGAGGAAGACTAAAGCTTTTTTTTTTTTTTTGGAATAAATCATCATCAAATCACAACTTCATATGAATTATAGACAATACAAAATCACTAATCTAAAGTATTTAAAAAAATAAAAAAAAATAAAAAAAATTCTCTTACCGCGTAGTCCGTAAAGTTTCTCCTCTGATTATACAGTATAGCTGCGAAAGCAGAGGACAGTGCTGTCTGGGCAATATTGACAATTGAGATGCTTATCTTCATTCCCGTGCTGAATCTCTGTTTTGAAGAAAGAGTACTTACTACAATATACAACTGTTTAATTGTCTTAATATAATATAATAGAAAATAACTCTCACATATGAGGGTATGAGATACATACAGTGATATAATACTGTTGGTCACACAAATGGTCTGATCCTATATGGCATGTGGTTGCCGGATTGGAAGCAATGTCCACATAGTATAGGATAAGTGCAATAACTGAGATGATTATGGTCACAACAGAGACTGCCAAGCAAGCAGAGACCTAAAGACAAGAGCAACTTTCATCACTTTTGTCTTTTTCACACCTGTAAGTGAATTGGATTTTGGAGACAGAAACTTTTACACAGAACGTGCCTTCTTTTGTGAAGCCTTTTTAATTGATTATTGGTCATGACTGAATATCATTATAATACCGGTACACAAACTCTATATGCTGTATGATACTTTGCTTGTTAGTCAAACTCACTGTCTTCATGGTGGCAATTTTTTCCACTACTATTGCAGCTGTGCCTGAAATGACAAACTGTTTGAAAAAAAAAGGGACACAAAGAATAAAGTTTAGTGATAGGTCCATGGTTGGTGGATATGCAGTACTGTACATTTCACTGAATACTTTGTCATCACCTTAATCCATTATATAACTATTACAGGCTTATTAGTTTGATTTACCATAAGGCCACTCCACCATGGTACACCAAAGTGAAGTATCATTGTTGTCTCAGTAGAAAGCAGAGGTATAGAATAAGAGATGATCAGCAATCCTATTACTATCTGAGAGACCTATGAGAGACAGAAAAATGGCTCAGTAAGAAATGTGTGCATCTCAAAGTAAATATAACTTAGGTTTTTTGTAATATCATTCAGTTGACATGAAATTTAAATCAGATTGAGCTGCTATTAAGTTTAAATTTGTACTTTTTCTAAAAGTATTTTAAACCAAAATGTTCCTTCTTCTATAATTATTATATTATGTTAGCACATTTTTCACATTTAACCCTCTGGTGCTCTTTAGTCATTTTTGACCAGAAAACTTTACTTCATCAGAATTGTAAAACACCTGGGAAAGGTTTTGGCACTTGCTATGTGCAAAATAATAATAATGGGCATGATTTGAAAAGGTTAAAGGTATGGAAGGCAATTTCTATGGTAGGCTAGGAACAGCAAGCTAGCTTTGAAAGCATTAAGCCTTGTTTATACTTTTGCCTTGCTCCGCACCACGAGCCTCCGCTCAAAGTAATTGTTCTGTAAACCATCAGGAAGCAGCGGTGAGAAGTAAGGTACACATGTGACGATGTTTGTTTTCTATTACACTTCACCAAACCCATAAACCAAAAGAACCAAAGAATCATGTAAAATCCAGTAAACCCTGAGATTATTACTTGTGACATTAAAATAAAATATATGGATATGAGAATGTATAAAAACTAAATTAAACAACAAACTCTTAAATATTTTCTAATTTCATCAACCATTATTATTTAATTTCATGTATATTTGTATTAAACATGCTTATTTCTGCTATTGAAGGCTCATTATGTAAGCAAATAATTTGAACAAGTGCAAACTGTGTGCCTGTAAGATGGACATTTTTAAGTGTGCCTGTAAAACTGTCTGCCTGTAAGATCTTTGGAAGCCGAGCCGCACGCAAAGTTACAAGTTACAAAAAATGAGACTTCCATGATATAATCTTTTATATTCAGATCACTTCTTTTATATTCAGATCACTTCTATTATTGATTGCTATCAGGATGTGAAGATAGTTTCAACCAGTAAAACAAATGTACTTTATCAAACAAAAGCTTACCCTACCCTTAAATGGTCCTCAAAAAAATAGTCACACTTGTGCATTGGAAATGAAGGGGAGACGAATTTTATCTAGTGGAAACGTTTACTGCACCCAAACAAATTCTTACTGAAAGATCTTCTTTTTTTTTTTTCTTTTTTTTTTTTTTGAGAAATCAACCTCAAATTTGGAACACAGCTTGTTTGATTTTCTCGTGTACAGTTACGAGATTAGAGTAAAGCATGTTTTGGAAAAATATTTCATAAAAACAATTTTGTGGGGTTTTTTTCACAATAAACTTACTAACTTGCAAACTTACAAAGCTGCCAATTGTCTTCTTTAAAGTGACTGGACTTGTACTCTAAAGCATTCAAGAGTTATGACACTTTAAGTTGGAAATTTCCAGATCTGTGCTCAAACAGTGCATACATGGATTACAACTATGCATACATATAAATCAATACCATATAATCCCATACAAATAACACATTAAATTAAAAACATTATTGAACTAAAATGTAGTAAAACAATTTCATAGAAATAATAATATCCTTTTAGTTCATAATACAGAATGGTCTCCAGTGCCTTATTGCTTTTAAAATTTACATTATATGAAAAAAATATTAAGAACACAATTTTTTGTTTATTAAAACTGGAATAGCGTATTGACCAATCAGAAGCCAAGACAGGAATTATCTGTTTTATAATTAATATGCTACATGGACTATTTTTAGTTTTTAATTAGTATTTTCTTTAACATGATGATACTAGTATGGGTCTATTTAAATGGCCTAGTAGCCAAAATGGCGAGTGATTTAGAAATGGTAAAAAAGGACAGGGGGCCAGAACTCCTGACAGCCATACTGGAACTGGAGTTCAATAAAAGTCTACTTTAAAGGCTTATGCTTGTGCCCTGTTGGTGTTCTTAATTGCCATGTTCCTTTAATAATGAGCCCTAAGAGATTTGGAGGACTATAAAGATATTAGGCTATTTAAGATTGTATTTTATACAGATAGGCCATATACAAAAAGATAAATTGGAAATATCCAAAATTGTGCACACATTATTATTTGTTGTTAGCAAATCTATTGGTCTTTCTCCTCTGACAGAAAACAAAAACAAAACAAAAAACATTGCTTTGTGGAGGTCGTTCATAAAATTATCACTGAAATTAAACCCCAATTTGACTACACGTCCTTTTTTTTTTTTTTAAGGAAAGACTAGCCTATGCCAGAACACGTCCTGCGAGAATCTGTGCGGAGCCCTTTAAAATTAATGAAGCCATAACACGACGTTCACTCACCCCGAATATTTTGGGCTGCCCCTTCTCGATGCTTTCCCGCAGAGCTTTTTGTTTGTCTTCCAGCTTTTCCTCTACCCGACTTGGGCCAGTATTCACTGACAGGTCTGTCGTCACAATCAAAGTCATCCTTCGTTTTCAAGTAAGTCAAGTTTGCAACAAGGGATAAGAAATACGACACGTCTTTAAAGTTACAGTTGAGTAATGTCAGCACCACAAACTAAGAGCGAATGTTCACGCAGAGCAGAAATCCACATGAATGAGTGAGATAGGCTGACCTAAAAAGTCTGCAAAGATTCTGCTCGAGTCGATTCTTTGAGCTGTTTGTAGTGTGCTGGCAGGACCCTTTTCTTCTCTTGTTAGGCAAATTGCGCGTCTATAAGTGCGCAATAATTCCACATAAAAGATCTGCGCTTCTTAACACAAAAAGAGTTAGACCCTCCCTTGCGTTTTTTTATGCAAGCATCGCAACGAAAAGGGGTCTGTGTCCAGCCCCCATCTCCCCATAGGAGCTTTTATTAAGTGTTTTCGATCACTTCATAAACAGCTCCTCTCTGTCACGAGCTTAGGATTCACAGAAACTACATTCGAGGTGAGTCGGTCGTACATTATTTTTGTACATTAATTACATTTGATTAGACAGTTATCAATTACATATACAAGCATATAGCTATATTTCCATTAGTGTATTTTATGTCTGTAACAAAAAAAGTGCACTTGAAGTGTACAATGGTTTGCAGTGGTTATCATGCCTATTTGTGATTTTATGCTGTACAAATAAATAAATAAATAAAAAGGAAGGAAGGAACTGTTTTGGACATCTGGGCAGTCCAGCCCCCTGAAGGAAATGAATGTAGTGCACTGAAGTTTTTTTTTTTTTTTTTTTTTTACCCTAAACCTCTTCCTCTGCAGTGCTGTTGAGTAATCAGACTTGTATCAAGCTGTGCTGCTCTTCTCTCCAGCCACATTTTCTGTATTATATCCGCCCACTTCCTCTCCTCACAAAGATGTTTTTCTCCTACAGCATCTGTATTCCCGCAAAACGTTCCTTTAATCCAGGGGGATCAGATCATGTTTTATACAGACTCTCTATTATTTCAGACTGTAGGGAGCCATTATAATTGTTGAACTGAACTTTGAAATGTTCCTATTTTTCAGTACCTCGGTTGATTTTTAGCTGACTGTTAAAGATGTCAAGCACTCAAACGCAGTCTGCTGACTCGGATCCTCCCAAATTTCATCGTCTGTTCAAGTTTCATGACCCTGAAGTGGTGGCAGTAAGTGGATGTGGGCCATTTTTTTGTTATTAAGGAAGACAGATAATGGTAGCTTGGGATCGCATAGACATCGTAACAGTTTTCTTTGAGATGTTTTTGCTGTTGAATATTTGTTTGAATTTTTTTTCTCTCACCATATGTTTTCCGCTCTCTAGGTTATGGCGATATTACTTGGTTTGTTTCAGCTCCTCCTGACTATACCAACTTACAGCGCCAGCATTGATATGAAATATATGTTTGTGTGCCCCCTCTGTATAGGTTCTGTGGTATGTTTATTTTATAACTAAGATACAATTATGTTTTGAATGATTGTCATAGTCTTATGATTTGCCAAAATTAAATAAAAAATATATAAAATGAGCATACACAAAATAAACATTTACACACACACACACACACACACACACACACACACACACACACACACACACACACACACACACACACACACACACACACACACACACACACACACACACACACACACACACACATCAAGTCCCAGTGACCCTTTTCTTCTGACAGTTGCTTACAATGACAATCCAACCTTTTCTTTTAATTCTGATGTTTTTCTTCTTCTTCTTCTCCAATTAGTCTGTGATTGCTGGATCCTTTGGAATGGCATCTGAAAGAACTCCTAGGAAAGCACTGGTAAATTCAAGTAACTAGAGCTTTTTTGGATGTGAATTATTCCGACATACACATTAATAAGCAATTATGTGTTTTTCTCTCTATAAGCTAAACATTTGTCTGATCTCTGGTATTGCTGGCCTGGTGGGGACACTGATTGGTCTTGTTCTGTATAGTTATGCTGCAAGTACCTCTCTAGTCCTCCCTCCTTGCTCACATGATTCTGGTTGTGCAGAAGAGATTTTTCAAGTAAGTTCAAATTATTGATTGATTATTCCATTAGTCAGTTAAAAAAAATCCCTATACCTAAATAAATAGCATAACACATGTTCTGTGCTGTGAGTCACATTATTTTATTTAGCATTAATGGAGAATGTATTTAGGCAAAAAATCGCACATTGTCGAATACTGTTATGTTTTTGCTAAATATAAACTTCTCATTTTTACCATAAACTCATACAATTTTCTCTTTCTGTTTTGACAGAGTTTTTATAAAGCGATCTCTGGGCAGCTGTTGTTTTATGATATTGCAGCTTTGGTTCTTCATTGTTTCCTAACATTTTCTGCATTTAAAGGTCTAAGAAAACAATGAGATCACGTTATACACCATACACTTTTCTTTGTTCATTTTATCTATGAGCAATTTTAATTAGTAGACTGCTCTAAAACATTATCACCGATATTGTCCTTGTGTTTTTTTTTTCTTCTTAAAAATGTGAATTTACAATATTGTCATGTACAAAATACAGATTTGGAAGTTTTTTTGTGAAACTGGCGACAGTAGCTTGCTATAGCCTACACTGTATTTAACCCACTACAGCTCAGAACGTAAGGTTAATTGTTTGGCTACCATAACTTTTTAAGTAAAAATAATGTGTTGCCATTATTACCAACGGCAATGATGGTCTTTTGCTAATGAAACTCTGAAAACTCATAAAATCACAAAAAATTAACAATGGATGTAACCGAATATGCAAAAACAAATGTGCAGTTTTACAGTGCCTGTAATTACAAGCAATACAATTATTTTGTACTATGGATGTCTCTTTAGTGCTTCTATATGTAAATATGCGAAACAATTATTTTCTTGCTACAATATTAAACTTTTTATATATATATAAACTCTGTTGTCTGTGTGGTGAAAAAGTAGGACCAACCCTACTGCCATGTCACATCACATATGGAACATTCCCGTCACATCGGGGTTTCCCTTTCAGTCAGCTAGGACCACACCATGTAATGTCAAAGATAGGGGAGCATAATGGTATTTTCACGGGAACATGTGAATGCCTTTCAATAGTATACATTATAAAACCTTTATATATTCATTTAAGCCATAATCTAAAACTGTATGCGATATTCCAGACAAGACGGGTAAATTGTGTTTTAGGGGTTTTTAAACGTATCTCACTTCCCTAGACAAAATCGACAATGGTCTCATCCAAAGATGGCCGCGATATCTGTCAACGAGAAGTGAAACTTTCCCTTATGAATAGGAATATACACCGTGAATTAACCTTTATTTGCACTGTTTTGCTCGAAATGACATCGATGCTGTTTTACCGGAGACATATTATTATGTCTTTCTGAGTTGTTATTTCGTCCGACGCCGTTTTGTATTGAATAACAACCGCCTTGCCCAACAGCTCTCTTTTTATTGAGCTAGCCGTCCAGCTAACCGCGGGGAGATTCCAGTCTCCAGGAATAATTTCGCGAAAATATTACTACTCTGCTGCGTTAAATAACGCGTGACACCTCGTGTCGATACTGCCTCGGGCGTGTTTCTCCCAGATAGCGGGTTTTAACGCTGAAGACGCTCGCGAGGTAGTTGTCAGTCTCAACGCTTCCGTCTACATCTTGACGTCACTCGCTTCCAATTAAGTTTGATGTTTTTCCATGAGCACCCTGCGGAGAGGACTTTGATTTGCTTGTACCTTGTAAGTATTGAGATATTCTTTAAGATGTAACAAGCAGTTAGAGTTAATCTTAGTTTCAATAACATTTTCTTCGCCTTACTTTTAAGTAACGTTTGTCCACTGTTACATGCACTGACTGTCTGAATGATAGATGACTGCCATTGGTGGTCCAGATTACCTATCATCAGTCGTGGTTTCATATCCAAATTACACTTACCAAGTATTCACTGCTAGCATAGGTCAACTTAAAAGGATCGTTTACCAAAAAAATGAAAATTCTGTTTACATTTATTATGCTACTCGTTTTTCCAAACCTGTATGAGATGTCAATGCTATTGACAAATATTATGATCATATATTATGAATATGATGAGCTGTAATGTAATAAGTAAATTATTAGTACAGCTTAGTAAATTTTACTGTTGATTTTCAGCTGTCCTAGCAAATCAATGGAGAAGCTTCAAGACCTCAGCCAGTCCGAGTTGCAGAATTTGCTGGACAACTCGGAGCGGGTGGAGTCCATGGCACTGGAGTCTGATGAGGTAAGATGATGATGGATGTTTGTTACATGAATAGTTCACCCAAAAAATGAAAGTTCTGTCATTATTTACTCACCTTCATGTTGTTCCAACCCCATATCATTTTCCTTCCTCGGTGGGACACAAAAGGAGATGTTAGTAAGGGTGTTCATGCTCCTCTATTCCATGCAATGAAAGTGAATGGTGTCCATGCTCCAAAAAAGCCCTAGTCCTTAAGACCCGTGCACCATATTCCAAGTTTTTTTGTTGTTGGAACAAGTAGTCCAACAGACCAAAGTCTTATCTATATCTACTAAAATTCTTCATTGTCTGTCTGCCATACCACTCAAATCCAAAGTTTGCAGATTAATGTTTGTTTTTCTAATGTTGATCGATTAAAAGGCCTTGTTTCCTAGTAGGAATTTGGACACGAATGCCTTCTCATATTGTATTTACTACTGGGAAACTGAGATAATTTTATACCCAAGTTGGGCATTCCATAATCTTTAAACATGGCAGAGAGGAGAACGATTGCTACTGTGACTGCTATTCTTTATTCGTTTTAACTGCTACATCGCCCTGTCTTAAAGTAGTGCATATATACATTTATGAATAATCATCTGAAGCATACTGTATGTTTTATACACAGCAAAAATAGCCTGTATTTGACCATAATTCTAAAATTGTCAGCAAGCTGACTATCTAGATAGCGTGGCAAATGTTTATATGACTGCCAACGAATGGAACACCAAACATAATTTCGGTTTTAATAAGCTTTCCTCAATAAATAGGCAAGAATAAACCTGGTGTCCTTCATGATTCCTGTTCTTTCTGACAACAAAGCACTTGAACACGACAAGCTTGTCCTCACAGCTTCAAAAGTGTGAAGTAGGACATTTCAGGTAGCACGTGAATGCAGCATAAAACATCACATTGAATTGTTTCATATCCGCTCATCTCAGTAATCTCACCATAACTTAATAAAGAAATGACCACTTGTCTCCTTCGCACCAACAGCCATCGTTAAGTAAACGGTCCTAGTCTTGACAGTCCTGCTTAAGATATATTGTCCTTGTGGACTTCATAATGCCTGTAGCATTGTAGTTTTTGTTATGTGTCACTATCTTCTCTTTCAGATTCAGAACATTCAGCTGGAAAGGGAAATGGCTCTGGCTGCCAACCGCAGTCTGGCCGAGCAAAACCTGGACATGAAGCCCCGTCTCGAAAATGAGAGAGGGCGACTGGTGGAGAAATACACTGAACTGGAGGAAGTGAGGGAGAAATACAAACAGCACTGTGTCCTGAGAGGTAAGAGAAAAGAGGGATTGATTTGGTTTGCGAAAGTAAAGGTTTCAAAGAGACTGTAAGAATGAATGCGGGGTAAATTGATGTAAAATGAAGGGGGTGAGAAATTGATTGTTTTTAGAGCAGGTTTTCTCAAACCAAGAAGGAGAAGCGAGTAGTTTTGCACTGAGCAGAAATTACTCATGTTGGTAATGTGGATTTGTATTTTCCTAGTTAAAACAGGAACCATTTAGTATTATCATGGAAAATAAATAATTTGAATATATTATAAACTGCATAGCATTTTTTTTTTAAATAAAGGTAACCAACATTTTCAGATTTCTTCTTATATAGTCAAATTAATTTTATTCGCAAGACTTGGGTTTTTGTCATGTTTTTATCATTTACTTAATTTTCAATCTTTTTTCTTTTCTTCTGTTTTTGTTATACAAGTTTTTGTTCAGCTGTAACTAAAAAGTGTATATCTTAAAGTCTTAATGTTCTGTCATTGGCAAGTGTTTAAATGAAAATTAAAACATCAAACGGAATTTAGTTTGATCGTTCTGAACAAAAACACTTATTTGAAATAACTATTAACCTGTAAAAACGTTATTTGATCATTCTATTTATTATATTTTAATTTGGCAGTCAACTAATCATGAATTTAAATACTACGGCCTATGCAAATGAGTCGTTGACGCATCCAACGTGAGTGAAATGTCCGTGCTCAGCTGTCAAGTTATCATCGGTAAGTCGCTAGCATTAGCTTTTGGATTTCAGGAGTTTTTCCGAGGATATGTCGCCAACCGTTAAAGTATTAAGAATAATGTAATATCGTCGTGTGTGTTTTGAAACCAACGAAAATAGCAGGTTAGTGTAGAACTGCTACTATTCAGGAAAAAATGTAGGCCTGTATCTTTTTAAATAATTACCGTAAACACCATGTTGTCAAAGTTAGTATTATGGCACTTGCGTGTGTCATTATATTATTGACATTTTCCTCAAATCAAGCTCAAATTTAGTTACAAGGTTTTTCAACAATGAATATCTGAGATATGTGTTTTGTCAGTCATTAACGGCCGCATCCAAGGCAGTAAGTTCAGCATTACGTTTTAACCAACTTACAGGTTACAAAGTTTATTGTAACTATGTGAGCGCTTAGTTTTTCCTGTCATTTCATACATTTGGCCACAATCGTGTGTTATATGTAATATGATGTGCTATGCACAGGAGGACAAATAGCAGACAGACACTCTTCTCAGCTCCTAAAATTCATAAAACATTAGCCGTTACAAACATCGTGAATACAAACATCGTGATTTTTTGAATATGGAAAACACAGTATTTATTCAAAGAAACAGTTTTTTATTTACCCTTGCACTTCAAACAAGCAGAGACTGTCTCCAAAATGTGTGCAGCACTTCATTCACTATTTAGCCGGGTGGAGCTGCGAGGTTTAGTCACAAGCTCTTAGTTAAAGCTATTTAGTATAAAGCTCTATTCAAGTTCTAGGTATAAAGTATTGGCAAAAAAAAAAAGAAGATGATATTAACTGGCATTTTTTCTAATCAAACCGTTTTCGGAACTGTAATGTTACAGAAGGAACATATGAACAGAAACGTTTAAATACTGATTCTGCTCGGAGTGAAACGATTGATTTTCGTATTTTTTTTATGCCCTGATGGCAAATAAATATTCTAAAAGGGAAAGCTTAGGCATTGTGAAAGATATTACGAGTTCATCAGAATGAACTTGTTGAAAGATTCCATTGTTAGCACTGCTTATTAGCTCAGTGATTAAGTGAAATTAAAATTACAGTGTTCTTTCGATTTTTGTTCATACTACAGTTAAAGTGCACTGCCAGTTTTCACTGTAGTTTTGGGAACCCTGATCTTTTGAACAGACGCAGGAATTCTTACTGGGTTTCTAAATAGAGCTTTTTGTTCAGCCAGAAAATCTGGTATATGTTGTGCATATCCCTGTCATTTAGTGCTGTTCTAAGAGCTTGTTTTGTTCAGGCACTTATTCTCCTCCCCCTTTTTTGCATCTGTGACATTACATCACACAGTAGCTATGTGTGGGGCTGGCCTCTTTCTTCTCTGTAGTCTCATTCTTCTTTCTTTCTCTGTTCATTCAATACTGCTTTTTCCTAAGTTTAAAATTATTGCACATTTCTAGCCAACTGATTTGTTTGCATAACCGTTCTCATTTTTCAGTTTCTTACTCTATTACAAGCCAACCTATTAATGTATCAGTTCTCTCTCACTTCTGTCTCTCTCTCTCTCTCTGTCCCACTTTGCAGACAGTATCATGGGGCAGGTGTCTCCGGAGGGGCTGTTGTCTCGTCTGCAGACAGAGGGCGCCAACACAGAGTCAGAATCAGAGGTGGGTCACCATCTTTTTTATGATCAACTTGGATTTTCTTTTGTCATTTTGATGTTTGCGTTTTCACTGCTGGTGAAACTGTCAGGGTTAATCATTTGTGGATAAATTATATTTAAATAGCTTAAGTCTGGAAACCTTGATGCACTCATATAGTGTATTTTCTATTCTAACCATTCAAAAGTTTGGAAACACCATTACATTTTTTGTTTTTTTTTCCTTCTGTTCACCAGTGTAGCATTTCATTTAATCAAGATATAACCAAAATAGTAATATTGTAAATTATTATAACTAAAATGATTTAGAATATAATTTATTATAACAAAAAATAATGTGTTAATATTAAAGGGTTAGTTCACCCAAAAATGAAAATTTTGTCAGTAATTACTCACCCTCATGTTGTTCCATCCCCGTAAGACTTTCGTTCATCTTCGGAACACAAATTAAGATATTTTTTATTAAATCTGAGAGCTGGATCACTCCTCCATAGGCTTCTTAAGGGATCGAAACTGACCGGCCCAAAAGTTATGAAAGACGTCGTTAAAATAGTCCAAGTGACTACAGTGGCTCAATCTTAAGTTTATCAAGCGACGAGAATACTTTTTGTGCGCAAAAAAACAAACAAAAATAACGACTTTATTCAACTATTCATTTCCTTCCCTGTAGGCCACGAGTGAGTTCACGTAGTGGAACTGCGCAAAGCTTCTGTGTTGCACGTCACACATAGGCTCACTATTGGCCGACGCTGGTCATGTGTGTGATGCGTGTGACGTACAACCTAGAAGCTTTGCGCAATATCACTAGCACTGGTCTCACCAAGACACCTGCCGTTCTCAGTGGCGGCGTTTCACAAAAACCTAGAGTATGGCATTCCCCTCTGTGCATGTAGCACAACGACATTACCGAACGATATACACCTCACATTTTAGCAAACAAAATGCACGATGCACTATTAATTCTATTACACTATTAATTAAAACTCACAGTGAACAGCATTAAATATAAAAACACATGCCATACCTTTTTGTTGCAGTGCAGTTTTTATTGCATAAGTGGTATAATGTTTTGCTGACAGCACTACAGTCCTCATTTTTTATTGCTGCTTCCATTCTCCTGATTGCTATTATTTAATTTCTTCGTTAAAAAAACATCCAGGGAAGATTGAATAGGCTTGTTTCTTTTAATGTTTACTCAGTATCTGACAGCTAGGCTAATCAAAAAGACGCGCGATTAAGTGATGCAATAAACTGCAGCTGCGCACACTCACTCCACACACGTTTTTTTTTATAATAATACTTTGCAATAATGTGTGTCTCCTCTGACCGTTGTTCTGTCTAACATTAATCCTATTAATCATTAATTGTATTATGAGCCTGCTGTGGTCCGTGGTCCGTCATACGAGTACATCCGAAATGTCATTGCGATCCATTGTTTTCCTGTTGTTTGAATGGTTTGAATCGACCGCTCTCCCGCCCGTTACGTCACGCCCGCCACGCCCATTTTCAGATGCGGAAGTAAAATTCTCACAAAAACGACTCCAGAAGCCAATGTAGCGTATTTATAAGTATATTTTAAAGAAAATCTAGTTACTACATTGTTTTTCTATACATTGACTCGTTGGGTCCTCTAACCTGCAATATGCCCTTTAATGACTAGTATGACCAGCTAGTGGTTAGTCAAGATGCAATCAGTCTTATTTTTTAAGTTTTTAATTAGACCAGTCTACGTTTTTATGTAACTGACTTAAATAAATGTGATTACTAACTTAGCAGTTTATGCAACCGGAAGAACATCTTATGTAATCCTTAACATGATTCTTTGACCAGAGATCTTAAATAATACAGTGTATATATTTAATTTAAATAGCATTTCATAATTCATCTAAGGTGAATAAAAGTTGCAATTTCTTTCGAAAATATAAAGTCTTTGTGTTTCCAAACTTTTGAATGTAATGTATATTTGTATTTGAAGTTTTATGAACTACGACCTCCTAAGCATTGCATAATGTTATAAAATTTAGATATTGTGTTACCAACCCCATGGTGTGAGGATTTGAAAAATCATTCAATCTCTTTCAGGTTCTAGCAGATGAGTTTCTGGAAGGTTCGATATCACTGGACTCCTTCCTCGAACGCTTCCTTTCCCTCCGCTCTCTCGCTCACACAAGACGAGTGCGCATTGAAAAGCTGCAAGAGATTCTCTGCCAAAAAAGCAAAGGGAAAGGAGATGCTACAATGACATCACAACCCTGTGCCAATCAGGATGCTGGATCATCATCGCCGTGGCAACCACAGCAGCCTCAGCAGCAGCAGAGCTCCAAAATCAATGCACCCTCCAATGCCTCCAGTTCTGCCCTCCCCTACTCCCCCTACCCCGTTGCTCCCCCCTCAGCCTCCACAGCGGGCACCGCTAACCCTAGCACAGCGTTTCAGCCGTACCCCAGCCAGGGTGCTCCCTTCCCACCATCGACAGGCTACTCCGCTCCCAGGCCTGCATTTGGTCCTCCCGCTTGCCCATACCCCACCCAAACCCCATTTCCTGCCCCACCGTTTGGGCAGTTTGGTCCAACGCCCGCCACGTACCCCACTCCATACCCGTATGGAGGGTACAGCTACCCCACAGGCCCCCATGCGCCATCAACCCAATCACCCACAGCTAGACCGCTTTATAGGCCAGGTTTTGGGGTACCACAGCCATACTCCTGAGCCACTCTGTGTGTGTCTGTCTTTCTCTTTTTCTCATCATCCTCCCTCTCGTCTCTGTCCCTCCTTTCTCCTCCTGCTCTGCCTTTTCCCAACCCTCTCAGATTTGTGGTTTGAGTACCCATGTCACATCCTCTTCCTGTCTGAGGCTTATAAAGACACTTGAGATTGAGCGTGTGCTTGTTTCCCCCATGAAACTTCAGTCAGAGACTCTTAAACGGCTCAGTTTCTGTCCATTTTGAAGCATGTTTTCAAATCGGTTTGCAAAAATCTCTGAAACATTGATTATGTTCAATGACGAGATGCTTGTTTTTGTCTTCTGACGACATTGTGTTACAGCTCAGCCTTATTTGGGAATTCTTTCCAAGCATTTTGTCAACATTCCACTGAGAAAAACACGCCACACTACATGGGAGCGTTACTTTAGCCGTAGTCTTATTCTCTTGTCTATATCAATACTTGTTGACAGCGTCAATCCAGAAAGCACAGCACCATTTTACATTCTATCACAGATGAAAACTCCTTAATAAAGCCGAGCTTATTCTTTATCATGAATAAAGTGACAACTTCCATGTGTACTGATTTGAAATCCATATCAATGGGTGCAATACGCCCTGTTACGAGTGCTTAGTGTATTAATGCACCAATCAATCACTCCCAACCCTCTCGATACCTCTTTTGCTCCTTCTTTTTTCTTTTACACCCTTCCACTCCATTTATTTGAAATACCGCTCGACACTGATCGGAAGGAATAGTCTCTAGTGAGGACAGTGTACTCAACGAATTACACTAATATTAAAAGGAAAGCGGAGAACAAGGGATATTAATATAGACATATCTATCTGCTATAGCACAGGATTTGGGGGGGGCAGGTGAAGCATATCATAGCACAGAGCACATGCAAAGAAAATAGGCGCTACATAACATGCTTACGTTAGTAAATATAGCATTCAGCACCTACCGTTAAGGTAAAGAAAACCTTTTGTGGTAAAACTATGCAGACGAATGCGAGACTGCATATATTACACTTTAAATTTAGACACATTTGAGGCATTTGATGGTCTTGCACAGCCAGCCACCCTGTCTGTTTCTCAGAGGCATATTGCCATCAGAATCGCAACGTGATTCGGACTGGATTCGAATCAAGAGTGTTTACTCTAATTTTGTGGTTTGATTTGAGCCCATCTTCAGATTCTTCCTCATAAACACCTCACTTGCCTCCAAATACAAAAGTGTAGGCCTACCCAACAAAACGGCCCGTGCGTGTCATTATGAGGTGTTATTTAGTTCTGTAAAAGCTCCCTCCTAACTGAGGTCCTTGTTGGCCAGCTGGAGGACCATGTGAATCACACTAACACTCCACACTTACAGCCCCAAACTCTTTGGCAACAGATGCTGGGAGCGGGGCCTTCGACCGGTCCACTTTAGAATAGGCGTGCTGGGTCACTCTTTATTTTTGTACTTTAAAGCAATTCAAAACCAGAGGCATCCTCAATCAAGCCTCGGGTGGCTTTATCTAATTCATGAACTCAGTAATTAAGACTCAGGTTTGTAGCAAAACCCCCACGTTTAGGTTCCCTCCCCAGCACCTGGAGCGAGGGAGAGGGGTGATACGACACGAGGATAAGGGGGAAAAAATGGGATGAAAATTTTATTAGCACATTGATTTGCAGCGTTAGAGGAAAGAGATTCTATTGCATTGGTTGTAATGACTGTAGCCTGTTAAAAGTGTATTTTTATTTTTATTGTCCTTTTTTCGGGTGTGAATATTAAACTCTGAAGGTGATCTGATTTCTGCGTTGATTGGAATTTCTGACTTTTCATTGTTATTTGTAGTTGTAAAAGTACAAAAGTTTGGGGAAAAGAAATGAATGCTTTCATTCAGTGAGGATGAATTAAAATGATTAAAAGATCCACATTTTGAAGGTAAAGACATTTATAATGTTACAAAAGATTTATATTTAAGATAAATGCTGCTCTTTTGAACTTTCTAATCTTCAAAGAATCCAGTTTTTTCTACAAAAATATTAAGCAGCACAACCATTTTCAACATTGATAATAACAATAAATGTTTCTTGAGCACCACCAATTCATCATATTAGAATGATTTCTGAAGCATCATGTGACACTGAAGACGAGTTATGATGCTGAAAATTCAGCTTTGCATCACAGCAATAAATTACATTTTAAAATAAATGAGAAAACAGAAAAATGTCAGAGTATTTGTATTTTTGATCAAATAAATGCAGCCTTGATGAAGATAAGAGACTACCTTAAACCTTACCCACCCCAAACTTATGAACAGATTTTTTTTTTCTTTTGAGGATCACACAAAGCCAATGTTTTCATAAATTTACAAGACGAGAAATGGGAGCTCATTGACTCACTTTTGAAGGCTGTTTAAATTCCGTTCATATTGAATCATAGACGAGTTTCAAGAGGGTGTTGGGGGAATTTTTTTTTGTACAGGTACAAAAACCAGTCTTTACGGGCCTCTCTACGACTGTATAATATGGTAAACCAACCCCGGCGACACCTGAGAAAGATCGAGAGAGTGAGGGAGGGAGAGAGGCGTCTGGGAAAGATGGTGAATGAAAAGAAGATATGAGTAACAGTAAAATGAAAGGATAGATGTGGATATCGGTGGTTTTATAGCCTGACTGACTTGCCACGGCACTCGCAGTTGATTCCTACTAGCACAATTAATCATCTATGCGAAACTTGCTTGAACATTTTCAGTGTGCCGTACACCACAAGAGACTCAGTTCCTGTATGCAAAAAAGAAAGATTTTCAGTTTTGAATATGCGGATTTTTTTTTTTTTTTTTTGCTGCTTTGTTTACTCCACCAACCATATAATTTTTGATGAAAAATGGTAAGTATTTTGTAAACTTTTTAAAAAAAAAAAAATGTATTTTTAAAATGTGTTAGAAATTGTAATTTTCGATTTTTTAACATTTAATATCAAGTTAGACAATATCACACTACTTATTACCTTTTCTCCTCCCACTTACCCATACTTGCCCTTTTTCATACTTTTCTTCATTTTTTTCTTGTATGCCGCTCTTTGAAGTGAGGAAGCAGTGCACTGTGCAATCAAACATACTTGAGAATAAAAGACACGCTCTATATGGAGAGAGAGAGAGAGAGGATGGGGGCGGGGAATGAAGATAGTAGCTCGACACCTCTGCTTATTTCCTTTCACTTAATTTTTCTTGTCACTTGCTGCACACATTTGTTCTTGTCAGTCAGAGGCAAGGTAAGATCTGATAATATATTGTTAACAAGCTGGTTAGGAGTCATGGTGTTTCATAAATGTTTGATGCTCTTTGATGAAGAAAACCTTCAAAACACTTTTGAAGCAGAGATGTGAAGACAGTTGTCAATTAAAAACAATAGCCGTACTGTAACATATCTAAAATAACATCATAAACAATCTTTTTTTAAAGTGAGTCCGGTTTGTGTCAACAAATTGCCATGACATACAGTGTCATTGTAGTGAATGATATGTTTTTGTTGATTGTGGCTTAAGTCATGGTATGATTCGAAATCGTTGCCGTAGGCTACTGATAAAAACTCAGGCTAAACATGCTTATTATTTTGCTTTATCTGAACCGGACCCCTAAAAAGAATGAGAAAAATTGAACGTAACTGGGCCGAGGCTCGATTAAATCTAACGAAAAGCACCGGTTTCTTGTCTACCAAAGGTCATTCATTTGACCTCTGGGCCTGTTATCAGTTTATAGAGTGCATAGAGTTACTTTGTTTAGTCAAATGAAGTTAAATGAAGCTCTAAATGTTTGGCACAACCTTCTGCCAGATGGAAAACTCTCTGCTGATGACTCTTACGGCGCTCCTGCTCCTCGGTGTTCGTAAGTAAATTGATTATTCATAAATATACTTTATTGTTGTGCTCTTAAATGATGCATGTTACATATATGATCTGCTCTGCAAAAAAAAGATCTGCAGGCAGTTGTAGATGCTGATGTACAGTTAGAGTTTTATTAGTCTGTTTAATATTCTAATATATGGATTAATATATCAGCAAGACAAAATGGACCAAGGAACAACACTTAGTATTGCAATGACTAGAATAGTCCAATGCTTTCATTCACAACATTGTGCATTATATAGAAGAACGTTTATAATGCAAAACATTGTTAACATTAGGGCCTGCAAGAATGCATTACAAAATTAGCGCAAGTGTCAATAGTGTCCTGAAAAAATATGTAATTTCTTGGAGTGGTTTTTATTGTTCTTTCAAATTCTTACTCTTAACTCCATGTTTACTGGAAACTGATGGCAACACGAATATTTTACAATTTTTGCAAGTTATCTATTTAATATGGTGATTGAACTAATAGGGTGAATTCGGTAAATGGGTCACCTTGCAAAAACTCTTCTTACACGTTTCTTTATTATTCATGTAAAAAAAAAAAATCTGCATACTGCATACTTCAATCTTGTTTCTTGCATAAGATAGTAGACCGTGTTACTATTTGTCATGTGCATGTCTAGTGTTTTATCAGAAGTTATCCCAAAAAGTTGGCTTTGATAAAAATGGCAAAAATCATGGAACAATTACTTTGCCTACTGTTTTAAAGAGGTAAATCCCACCAAATTACATTTTTCAGCCCATTGTCTGCTAAATAAATCATATCTTGTTAGAGTGCAATACACATTAATTGACCATTTAGTTTTGGAAAATAAGACATAAACAAAACCGTTAGAAAAACAATTCAAATGAACAGGCGTTGTACTTAAAATTGTTGTAAACCATTTAACATATTTAACGCCAGCACTAATAAATTAGCTTTTGATATACAGTAGTCGACATTTGAATTGGATCAAAAAAAAAAAGATCAAAGTTGTCCTAAGACAAGAACGGGTATTGTTAGAAATTCATGTATAACTTTGAGGAAAGGTTTTGATCCACTTCAAATGTTGACTTCTATATTTTTGTTTTCAATCAAAAAAAAAATCAAAAAAAAAAAAAATCAACAAGGACAGTAAATTATGAATCAGTGAAAAGTGAAAATCATCTTTTTTTTATTGTATGTTGTCAAAATATGTTAATGTGAATAAGCATAGGCATTGTACATTGGAATATATATATATATATATATATATCATTTTTATTTTAAAATGTATTGATGTTAAAACACGTTGTCAATATGTCAATACATTTTAAAATTAAAATTAGTAATATATATTATTAATTTTACGTTTTTCCAGTCATTTCATGCTTACATTTTATGTTTTTATGCAAATACGTAAATACCAAAAATCACCAATATATATATATTATTTTGGTGATTTTTGGTAATCCAAATTGTAGATCCGTTAAGCACCTGACTCTGAATAGCCATCTATGTTTGCAGAGTGCAATAGGGATCAAGCAATCATGCAGTCAAATGTGCAAAGTGTGTGAATGCCTTCGAGCACAGTGCAAAAAGTGCAGTAGCGCAATGAGTGCAAATGATCCAGCTATCTGCTCTCTGACCTCAGTTACAAGCCGGTTTTATGCTTGAATAATGCAGAGCATGTCACATTTTTACATACAAAATGTCAAATAAAGTACTAGAGTTCTTAAAATGTCAAATGTTAGTGAGATGTTATTGAAAGTGGCGAGTTGGAGAATATTGGTAGCACACTGTATTAAAAATATAATAACTGAAGTGATGTCTTGCAATGTGATCAAAGAAGAGCACAGAGCAGCATTTCAACTGCAATCAAAATGACATGCATATACATATATAAGTATAAGTATATAAATTCTCTGCAGCAGTATTTTAATCAACTAACGTTTCTTTCATTTGCATTTAACACTTAAAATGTTTCAAATGATTGGAATTGTATTTATTTCCAAACTACACATTTTATGTGGAGAAGAATGATTCTGGTGTTCCAACATTTTCACATATTCCAACATTGTCATGAAAGTAATTGTGTGTTTTCCCTTTACAGGAGAAGGAACATCACAGATGTCTAATACCCCAAACATCACCAACACAACCTCCTCAACCCCAAATGTCTCAACCCCCAATACAATACCCACTGAGACCCCATGTCCGAAAACCATCCATTATATCACTCAGTATGTTCTGGCCCGGCTGAGGGTAAAGCGGAAGAAGAGTCCGTGCGAGGGTCAGCTGTTTCTGTATTTCCCTAATCAGACTCGAGCCCCTTTGTGCGTTAGCGGTCACATATCAGACAGCTGGTGGAGTGAAATCTGTAAGGACATGAGATGTGGAGACTTCAAGGGCTATAAGCCCACAAATAATGCTCCTGGTCATGTTCTCACAAGAAACATGACGACGTCATTCAGTAAAGAATGCACAGGCCTGCAAATCACTTGCGAAGGTACAATGTAAAAAATGATATGATCAATAAGTTATGACAACATGTGTTTTTACATTGCTTTACCTCATTAAAATAAGACATTTGAAACTTTAAAAAAAAAAGTTACATATTTCTTTTTCTTATCAGGTTTCATCGACAAAATAATTGTTAACGCTATATGCTGTGCGTTTTGAATAACGCATCATTTTCTTTTCTTCCCACATTTTCTCAGATACTCTAGGAAGTGAGTTGGCTGCCTATAAAGCAGTAACTGGCATATTAATTTTCTTGATGTTGGGAGTCATTCTGGTTCAGTACGGTCAGCCCACATACAAAGCCATCCGCAAAAGATGTGAGTCAGTGAAGCGAACGAGCGTGTCTTTAATCTCACATTAACTATAAAAAATGTAAATGTTTATATATGCAGGCACATAGCACCATTCAACATGTCTCTGTGTTTGCTTATATATACAGTCCAAAAAACTAAGGTTTAATTGAAAATCTGGGTAACACTTTACAGTAAGGCTCCATTTGGTAACATAGTTAACTACATTAGTTAGCATGAACTAACACTGAAAATACTTCTAAAGCATTTATTTATCTTAGTTAATGTTAATTTTAACATTTTCCAATACATAATTAAAATCAAATGTTGAATATTTTAATATTATTTAATGGTCCATTAGCTTACATGAACTAACATTAACGGAGATTTATAAATACTAAACATATGTGGGCTATTCCTCGATGTTAGTTCAAATTAGTCAATGCATTTACTTATGTTAACTAATGGGACCTTTTTGCGAAGTGTTACCAAAATCTGAATCTTGTTTTTTTTTTAAACAAGAAAACATGATATTGTAATTTTTCAGATTCTCCAGTATTTATAGGTCGCTAATCAAATCTAAGCAAATTAGTGAGATTGATCATGTGAACTCTTTATACAGACAGTCAGATGTTCTTCTTCCATTAAAACACAAGAACTTTTGTTTGTAGAATTCATGCATGTGGAGTTTATGCAGCTCGAGTGAATGATCAAATTCATGTTTATTTTCAACTCTGTCTTTCACTCAAATTGTTTTGCTTAGAATATAATTTGTAATAGCATTTGAATCCCACTTTATGTAATGCAAAACTGACTAATATCGATGTGGCTCTATACTTCAAAAAATACAGTTTGACACTAAGTTGGTTTGGTTTGCCACTGAATCTTTTTAAAATCCAAAGTGAAATGCTCTGTCTGATTTGACTATTTTTACCTGGTTTGATGCAGTTTCACAAAAACGGGAGACTCGCTGGGTTGGCCCGACTCAGAGTCAGAGTGGTGAGTCATCTCAAACATGAACGCATTCATGACTGGGTACTAGTGAGAAAACATTCAGCATGTTCTCTTTCTTCTTTAAGTGTCCTATCACAGAGGTCAAGGTCCCCCAAACAACAACACACTCAAGAGACAATCCTTTCCTGGTGAGTCTCTCTCTCTCTCTTCTATTTTACCATTCTGAACTCGTTCTATTAATCTCTCACTCGCATTCATGTTCATTTACTCAATTACATAATGATGAATTGAGTATTATGATGTATTGGGATTTTCACTCAAATTGCTTTCATTCAAATCACGTGTGTGCTTTTTTTGGATGCGAGTTGGATATGTTAGATTAAACTATTATGTAACACAACATTTACTTTAAGTATCTAAATCATGGTCTATCATCATATTTGACCTTCTCGACAACAATTCAAAATTCATAATCTATAGATCTTTAGTTCAGTGTGGGGGGAAAAATAAATTAGTGAAAAGTAACATTTCGTTCCAAATGACAGTAGGACTTAATTTATAACAAATTACCCGTTTTTTTTTTTTTTTTTTTTTTCAATAAAACAATTTGTTTATTTAATGATTTTTTTAAAAACAAGTTAACAAATTACCAAGTTTTTGGTAATGTTACAAAATTTTGGTAACAAAAGAAATTGGAAGCCATAAAATGAGTAGCTCAATACAATGTTTAGTTGAATATTTGGTTCAACCTTATTACTGACCATCTTATGATTCTTAAGTGTTTCAGACCATGCACAACTTTTTCCCCCCTGTGCTGTCAGGTTTGGAGAGGCTGACGGTAAACACGAGCAGAGAGCCCTCGTCTAACCGAAACAGTGACTATGACTCGTACGGCTTCAACTGAAGGCCTGTGCTCACAGAAGTCCTAAGAGTGTGTTTCCTGACCCTGAGACTCTCTCGTCAGTCTCATCTAGAATCAGCAGTCTTGTGTTGTGGGGATTTGGTTGCTTTGAGCTGTCCTTTGGCAAGTCGAGCAAGGTGTAAATATGTTTGAGAAGTTCAGGATAAAAAAAAAAAAAAAATTAGTCTCATAGCAGGCTTCATTTTATCATTTTTTTGTAATTACTTGATTTTGCTGTATATGCTTGTTAATATTGTTTTCTAAATAGCCAGAAACAAAATGGAATTTTGCTCATGTCCTGAAAGACACTGGCTTTTTTTGTTTATTGGAGTATGAATAATTTTAAATAAACTAAAAAGAAAATCATTTCGATCTTTCGTGGCTTTTGACTTGGGTGCAGAATCATAATGAAATTGGATATGCTGTAAATAAGTTGAACACTAATACATGATAAACATTCTAGGATGCTTTTGTTTGAGCTTTGATGAGAAATTTCTTCTTCTGAGGTGGAAGTGATGTAAAGGTTGGAAGAGGGAATGTGCTGTTAATGCACAATTTTGCAGCAATGTGGTTTCCTGTCGTAATTCTATTGACTTCCTGTTTGTGTTATTTCTGTCGCTCATGCTCTAAATATACTGTACTCATTCTTTTCACTTGGTTTCATTGTCTTTCTTTTTCCCATTTCCTTCTTTTTTCTTTTAATATTTTCTCCACTCTCTCCCTCTCTCTCTGACCCAGTTGACTTTTTTTTAATACTGCACTCATAGAGGGTTTAAAATCACAACAGCTTAAAATCTTATGCCTTGCCTGACTGATAACTAAGTGAAACTCTCTCTTTCTAAGTGCACAAGTGAGAGAGAAAGTTAAAAAGCTTGGAGGGGTTTTGCCTAAACCTTTCCCCATCTCCCAGTGTGTGTTTACATGCATGCACAGCATTTCAGGATGGTTGTTTCTGTTCTGTTCATTATTTTGTATTGCTTATTACCGCTTTGCAGTTGCTTTAGTCTCTCTTCATTGTGAGAAAAAATACACAGCCGAGGGAACGCAACAGCAGGTTTGGTGGGAGAGAGTGTGTTGTGTGTGTGTGTGGGTGGATAAGTGTCGTCTCCTCCTCATCCTCAGGTCAGAGTGAAGGATTAAATCTGTAGTTTAAATGAGGCTCTAGCAGAGAACAATGACAGATGACAACAGATTACACGCACAGATTAACAAAGAGATAAAATATCTAGTGCATCCATTCGCCATTTCTCCTTCTCTCAACACTTGTGACACTGACATCAAACCTGCTTGTTACTGCATTCAGTCTATTTCCACATAATTTTTTTTGCATTATCCAACATAGTCAAACTGTTAATCCTGACTATTTTGGATAATAATCATTCTTGAGGTCTATTATTGCCATCAGAGAGAAAGAAAATCTAAAGGAAAAAATAATATTCATCACAGAAGCTTAACTATTTAAAAAAAGTTAAAAGTTTAATGGTAACACTTTACAATCGGTTCATTAGTTAACATTAGTCGATGTTAATTAACTAACATGAACTAACAATGGGCAATACATTTGTTACAGTATTTATTCATCTTTATTAATGTTAGTTAATAAAAATACAACTGTTGTTAATTGTTCATGTTAGTTCACAGTGCATTAACTAATGTTAGCAAATACAACCTTTGATTTTAATAATGTATTAGAAAATGTTGAAATTAATATGAACTAAGATTAATAAATGCTGAAGAAGTATTGTTCATTCTTAGTTCATGTTAACTAAGGTAGTTAACTAATGCACCTTATTGTAAAGTGTTACCAGTTTAATAAATTGTGCAAAAAGCAAATAATAAAAGATTGGCAATTATTGATGCCCTTAGAGTGTTTCAGTTTTAACCTCAAGGTAAATAATTTGAGCAAATGAATTGAGCTTGATATTTATAAAAGTGAAAACCGTGAAGATTCAGCAGTTTTGCTTATTTTTAAGATACTAAGAGAGGATAGATGTAATGAAAGGGTTGAGAAAGAGTTAATATGATATTCTAAGAATTTTATGTATTTAGATATTCTTAGTGCTTAAGGAAAAGAGAAAGATTAGATGGAAAAAGAGACAGTGGTGTGATTAAATACTTTTATTTTTTTCCAGATGCATATAATGCCCTCATTCTTGCTAATAGGATTTTGCCTTTAATGTCGTCTGCAGCATTTCTCCCTCGTGCACTAATCATTAAGCCGCTGAAATTAAGCATTAAAAGCATTGAGATCCCATTTCTTTAATGTACAGTATGTTCAGAAACTCACCATTTGTTACAACATAAATTCTGCATGTTTAATGTAGAGGACCCGGGGAGAGAGTGAGATTAAGATGAGATAGGAAGTGGGTTTCGTCTTCAGATTTACAAGGGGTTACTTGGAAGGACGTCAACTATCTTTGGCCAGACATATCCAAGAAATAAAGAGAGGAAAAATGGGGGAGGGGGAGAGAAGAGGATTATTTACCATTTAAAATGAATAAATCCGTATTGTGTGAATCCGGCACACCAGCCAAAGAGGGACAGAGAGAGTGACTGACAGCTAGCCGTGCAGAGCTATAGATGACAAAGAGAAGAAACAACACACTAAAATAAGGAAACAAGGATTTTAAAATCATTTGCACCATTCTGACATACCTGAACTTGGAATATTTTTTACAAAACTAAGAAAAAAAAACCTTCAACAAGATAGATGCAAGCTTTCTGACAGAAGATGGACTGATGAAACTCTGACCAAAATCACACATTGGACTGAGCATGTCTGTGCGAGGAGAGTGATATCTTACTATCTGAAAATCTGAAAGGACCATTGAGGCAAGTACAAACTTTTTGGAAGTTTGATAGTGTCGATTGTTTTTGTTTTGCTTTATATTATCTTATTTTACCTGAAATTAATAAAAAAATTAAATAAATCAATAAAAAATAAAGGTTCCACAAGGGCAGTGATGCCATAGAAGAACCATTTTTGGTTCCCCAAAGATCCTTTTATTGATCAGTTCTTAAAGGAACCATTTTTTTTCTAAGTGTAAAGAAAAGTGTAATAATCTAAACACCCCTATTTCAATATAAAGGAATGGAATGGAAATGTTCCATGTTAGAAGTTCTTCATGGAACTATATATGGTTTCATGAAGAACTTCTAACATAATGGAACATTTATGTTAGAAATAGATGTCAATCAAACTCAAACCTCAATCGAAAAACTCAATCAAACTCAAATAGATGCCCATAAAGAACCTTTATTTTTAAGTGTAGTTGATTTTTGATGAGTATAATGTAATTTTAATGTATTTCAATAAAAAAAAGTATTAATTTATAATAAATAATTTAACAAGAACAAAATTGGTCAATTAATATTCAGAATAGCGGAATAGCCTTTATTGTTCTGCTGTGTTACAGGGTGTTATGGATGTAATGAGTCTTTCTAGACTCAAATGGAAGTCGTCTACTATGAGACTGTTGGTAATCCTTCACTTATTCATAATCCTCTGTAAGTTTGACTTATTTTTTACACTCCCCCCAAAACACTACATAACACACTTTACTTTATGTCATTTTGCAATGAGATTTTTTTTCTCTCTTTTTAAATATTTTGGAGGGAAAAACTAATTCTGTAGAGCACTAGGAGAAAGAAATTCTTCTGAAGTTTTTTAGACCAAATTTAAATTTAAGTGTGAGACATTTTTTTATTATTTTTATTTAATTCTTCAATTATGCCTGTTTTTTTGGTAAATCAAAGTGTTACGTGTTGTAGTTAATCTGGGAGAATATGAGAATATGAGATGCTTAAACAATAAAGCAATTGTTACTAATCTCACAAACTAATAACCCACCTTCCCTATTTCTTCATCAAAAGCCCATTGTCAGACACCCACCTCCCCATCGCTTCCAGTCCGGGTCACTGTTCCCTCGCCATGGCAGTCTTTCTCACTCTCTCAGGCGGATCTGGGCCTTCTCTTCACCAACTCCAGCCCCTTCTCTTCCACCCAATCCCTGCTCCTCATGCCTCCATCAGGAACGGCCTCCAAACCTCTTCTCCGTGCTACATTTGGTTCCTACACCATCACACAGGTAAAACAGTATTGATTATGGTTAATGACCTTTATCTCAACTTCAGAGAAAAATAATGTGAAGTTACTTATTCTGCGCTTTCACTTCTTGTCTTCTCAAGGTGATGACTGAAGACATTCCTCCTCTGACTCCATCTCTCACTGCATCGCTCCTTTCTAAAACCATTGTCAAAGAGATTGAGGGTGAAAGAGGAGAGCGGTTTGAGGTGCGAGTTCTGTTTCATATGAGGGGTGATGTTAACAGAGGAACCTGCGTTACTCTCCATGCTTTCAAACAGACCGAAGAACTGAAAGCTTCCTGCATCACTCAGGTACTGCTGGTCAATGGCACCATAAATGGGTCAGGACAAGAATTCTATAAGAGTCAAACAAACCTCAGTGATCACTCTGACTCTTCCACTGTATGTATATACACTCGCCTAAAGGATTATTAGGAACACCTGTTCAATTTCTCATTAATGCAATTATCTAATCAACCAATCACATGGCAGTTGCTTCAATGCATTTAGGGGTGTGATCCTGGTCAAGACAATCTCCTGAACTCCAAACTGAATGTCAGAATGGGAAAGAAAGGTGATTTAAGCAATTTTGAGCGTGGTATGGTTGTTGGTGCCAGACGGGCCGGTCTGAGTATTTCACAATCTGCTCAGTTACTGGGATTTTCATGCACAACCATTTCTAGGGTTTACAAAGAATGGTGTGAAAAGGGAAAAACATCCAGTATGCTGCAGTCCTGTGGGCGAAAATGCCTAGTTGATGATGCTAGAGGTCAGAGGAGAATGGGCCGACTGATTCAAGCTGATAGAAGAGCAACTTTGACCGAAATAACCACTCTTTACAACCGAGGTATGCAGCAAAGCATTTGTGAAGCCACAACACGCACAACCTTGAGGCGGATGGGCTACAACAGCAGACGACCCCACCGGGTACCACTCATCTCCACTACAAATAGGAAAAAGAGGCTACAATTTGCAAGAGCTCACCAAAATTAGACAGTTGAAGACTGGAAAAATGTTGTCTCGATTTCTGTTGAGACATTCAGATGGTAGAGTCAGAATTTGGCGTAAAC